GTCATTTTAAAACGGCACTGACGCTAATGCTATCAACATCCTCAAAAGGAACAAAATTACCACCTAAAGCCTTGGGCAGCCTGTCAGGTGGCCATGCATTAAACTTAACTGCTAGAAGAGAAAGGAAGGAAGGGGTCCTACAGGGCCCTGGCTCAGGCACAGCCACAAGTCAGGGTTATTAAAATGCTGGTGATAGGAAAGATGTAGCTAAACTCAGATTTTCAAGAAAAGTGATAATTTTAGTAACTTATGAATTTTCTAACTGAACTTCAATTTGATGGAAAAGTGTGGGACTCCTCCACCCCCTACCTTTGCCCTAGTTAACAATCTACCTGCCTCTCATCTCAGACGTCAATGCTGATGAAGTGTTAGAAGGGAAGCCACGTGAATGGGTAACCATGACATAGTACTTTCTAACCCTTCCTTGCCTCGTGCAAGTACATCTGTGTTCTTTCCTTATACCCACTCCCAAATAAAGAACCACTTCCGGATTTCTGGTGCATCAAATTCATGACTTGCAGTAGGAGATGTGGGTCCTACCTGCATCTTTCTCTTCTGGTGGCCATCGGAGGATTTGGTCCCTGGAATGTACCTGGCAAGACCTGTGGGCAGAATGTTCTTGGTCCAAAGCCTTGCAGTTTTCCTTCCTCCAAGGGTGCACCCCAGCTGCTGTGTGGGGTGGCATTCAGGAGGGCTGGAGCCTAGAGCCCCTGCTGGAGCTGCGGAACCCAACTCTGTCTCCATCTTAAGCCTTCCCTGCTTCTCCTACCCCCCAACCCCACTCCCACCCCCAATCCAAGACCAGAAGGCTGGGAAACAAACAGGAAGTCAAAAGTCAGGGGTGAATAGATAATTTGAAATCAGAGAAAAAGTTGTATTCCTATAACGTCACTATTAACATAGCATTTGTGTGAGAGATCACTTATTCTTGAGTTTTCTTGCTGTCTCTGTCTGGCTGTTGAAGAACATAAAATCCAAAGGGCCCTTGAGTCCTGTGCTTCCACTCAGTGTAAACTTCCTTACAGAACACATGTGGGTTTTCCATGCTTGGGGGGTCACGCTGACCTCTGTCTCAGATGCCCGCTGTCCCAGGTGCCCGCTGTCCTTTGCCAACACAGGCATTGAGAATGACTTGGTCCAGCCAGTTTTTCAGGAGTATTGACTTAAGAAGATATCTACAGTAACAAGTGCAAAAGAGTTGGCGAATGTGAGCTAGGAGCAATGACTGCAGGAGCTAGAATGGATTGAGTGATATCCTTGTAGCCTCTTCATTTTCCCAAGATTGGAATCTGTGGGTGTGCAAGGACAAGACAGATCACATGTGTCTTTTTGTACTTCATTCTGGGCTGTGCACAAAAATAACAGTGCCTGTGACTGTTACGTAAGAATTTTTCTACCTTGCCTCAGAGTATAGTCTGAGGAAAGGCAAGAGGATTCTTAGGGAAATAGTAGAATCCATCAGGATTTCAGAGGACGCTGATGACTGCAAAGATGGAGTAAAGCCTTTGCTGAGATGCTGTTATGTCCTTAAACTACTAGAAATAATTTTATAGCCATGACCTAAAAGCTGGCCTCGGCTGTGATTGAAGTGACTGCATTTCAGGGAAGAGTTCAAATTCTTCCCATGTGGCAGCAGAAAGCTACACAGTGAGCACTGTTTGGTTGTTTTGGGGGAAGCCAACAGAATTCTGTCAGTGTCCCACATGGGAGGGGCATTGACCCATCCTAGAAGCAGGAATTTCATTCCTGGTCCCCAAGGAACACAGATGCCAATTCCGGGGCTCTCAGAAATATGTTTTGCCAGATTTTCTTATGTAGTCACCCCTCAGCAACCACAGGGTTGACAACCCATTAAAGTTATTATCTATAGCAGCATTATCATAGTTGACAAGCTCAAGTTCTCATAAAATACAGGCACTTGAGAAGAAAAAATAAAAGTTGTGTTGATATGTTTCATTAAAAGCGTTCTAGAAGGCTCCATCCCAGATAATTAATCACAAGGGCAACCACACGTTGGATGGCTTTCACATTGCCGTCTTCAGCTCTTTGGGACACACCGTCCCCCTCACTTGCTGAGACAGGAGCTCCAGCAGCTAGTGTAACTGTTTCTGACGCAGTAGAGCCCGGCCCTCTCAGGCTCGACGTGGTGCACACTTGGCAACTGCTTGCTGGCTCTGGGTCTGTCTCCCCCTTCCTTTCTCTGCCCCCTCTCATCTTCTTCTCCTCCCTGTGTCTTCCCCTTCTCGCCTTTAAAAATAGAAATCTAAGCAATTATGTAGCTCCTAACTTTCCACATATTATGTGTTCCTGATCTCCTTTCCTCTCCTCTCTGGGTATTTCCCTCTGCTGCCCCCTCTCCAGAGTCCACATGGGGAGAGCGGTGATTGTGCGTTTCCCTCTGAGGAGTTAGGACAGAAGTATCAAGATAACTGATTCTGTATTTTTGCTAAACAGTATTATGTCAAACTTGGAGTGAAATATTATTGTATATAAAATGATTTAAAAAAAAAAAAACCTTACAGTTTATAAGAAAGAGGTAGGGTGGTAGAAGTAGTCTTGAATATTGGGTATCAGAGAGGATGGAGAATGCAGAAAGAAAGAGGGGAATAACTCGTTTAATTTATGTGAGTAGTTTCCATGGACAGAAAATAGGGCCTGCTGACTTCTGTAGTTTCAGAGGTCAGGCCAAGAAATGACCCAGGGCATAGCATAGAGAGTTAGGCTACATGTATACTAACTGCCAGAGTAACAAGATAGGGACTAGAGTCACTGTATTGGTTAGGATTTAGCTCAGTGGCCAGTGACTGGAAGACCCAAAATTAAGGCTTAAATAAGTCAGATCACATGAAAGACCTGGAGGTGGGCAATTTAGGACGGGTGTGTCGGCAGTAATAACAGTAATGAGAAATGCAGGCACTTCTGGGCCTCCCATTCACCCATTCCTGGTGGTGTGGCTGCTGCCTCATGGTCCAGAATAGATTCTGCAGCTCCAGCTATCACATCACATCTCAGCTAAGACATCCCACCAACATTGTAGTACCTTGGCCAGAACTTAGTCATGTGACTACCTCTCCTTGGATGAGAGGGAGATTAAGGTGTGTCCATCCTTCAGCTGTGTTGCAAGCTAACCTAAGCCTTCAAATTTGAAGCCTATTTGAGAGGGAAAAGGAGAATTTGAGAGAGAAAAGGAGACTCTCCATATCTAAAAAAGGTCATGTTCCATTCCTCATCTTGAGGTATTTGTTCACTTGGTGTAAACTGAGTGATTTGTGTGTTCACACACCGCTTGGGGACAGTGGGAAAGGAAGAAGGCAGATGGGTTTCTGCTCTCACGAAACTTAGAATTTAGCATGAGGCAAGACAGACAATTATACTAACAGCAAATGTGGCCTGGTTGACGATCTACATTCTCTATCCAAGTCTTTCCAATGAACTGTCTTCCGACGTACCTGTACATAATAAATGACGGGAGCAGATGGTGTCAGACAGCGCTGCTACTGTCTGCAGGCATCTTGGGCAGCCAACAAGGCATCTCTTTGATAGATAGTCAGCTCATCAAACACTCCCCAGTGCGTGCCTCAGGAGAAGAGTGGTGGGGAGGGAACCAGCAATTAGAAAGTCAGCACCTCGCCTTGAAAGCAGTCCTGAGTCCTTGCAGCAGCTCCCGCAAGGGCCACCATCTCCGAAGACACAAGGATTAAGACTCCAGCTGCAAAATCTGTGTGTTCTCTTTGGTAGAGGAGTTGAGGCTTGTTCCTTGTGGTGATCAGAAAGCTGTGATCAGGAATGATTTTGTGGTTCCTACTGGCTTTTGAGGCCAAGCTGCGAACTTGGCAAAACACAGGACAGGGCCTTTTCCTGCTCAGGTGACCTTCAGCCCACGGTCCCTGAGCCTGTTTCGCTGGGAAGCGGGCAGGCATCCAAGTTCAGGTCACGTGTGGTGGTGTGGGCTCTACTGAACCCGGGGCCAGCATGGCCCACCCAGAACTGGCCTGGCCGACACTGTGACCTGGCTCGGTGGTTCTCAAACTGCCTGAGGGGATGTACCAGTATTTTGAGAAAAATGAGATTAAAAAGACATACACGGGCCTCCCCGGTGGCGCAGCGGTTGAGCGCTGGGTTGCGAAGCTGCCCGCGGCCTCTGTGGCGCCGGTTCGATCCCCGGCTGCTCCCCGGCCACCGGAGGAGGGTCCCACATGGCGCGCAGACCTCTCCTGCCGCCCGCTGCTCCCCTCAGCAGTGTACTTCGGTCCTTCTGCCTGCTCTGCTCCCCGCTCTGGCTCTGGTGAATTCTCTCACCCTCCCGCGCTTCTGACTGTACCCAGTGCTTGTATAAACAAAAAACAAACAAACAAACAAATAAATAAATAAAATAAATAAATAAATAAAAAGAAATCCTCTAAAAAAAGACATACAGAATACTCTTGCTTAACTTTCTACTTTCAGGTTCAAGAGACCGAAAATCTCTCTGTCCGGTTGTTTTAAAATAGCTCACTGAGCTCCTGGGCTGAGTTTGTCTGTAGCAAGGAGCTCCAGGCCCACCACCACCAGGGACCGCACTGGGCAGCAGTTTCCTACAGGCCTCCGACCTAGGCCCAGCTGGGGGCTGCTGTGCGGTTCATGCTCACTTCCCAGGACAGTTCTGCAGTTGTCAAGGAAGCTTCCCGGGACCTCACTGTGCCTCCTGCCCTGCACAGCTCTGCGGCACCTTCTGTCCAATCCCCATGTTTCCAGCTGCTGCCTGAGTAGACTGAAGAAAGGAGCAGCTTGGCTGACTCTCCTATCATATTCCCGCGTGCAGGTGACATTGTTACTCCACAGTTAGGGCCAGAGAAATGTAAGGTCACAGCCTATTATAATCATTATCCAGACTCCCCTCCCTGGATGGGTCTTGGCATACAGTGATTGATTAGCAAAGCGGCCAACTGCAGGACAGTCCGCCCCAGCTGGCAGGTCTGGCCTGGGTGGAGGTGACTGTTGTCTCTGTTTCTCTGTTGCAGTTCTCCAAGGAGCGGCATATTGCAGACCGGACCCCCGAGAGGCTGAAGAAGGAGCTGGAGGAGGAACTGCTGCTGAGCAGCGAGGACCTGCGCAGCCACGCCTGGTACCACGGCCGCATCCCCCGACAGGTACCTGCCCCTGCCGCGCACACCTGGCTGTTCTCAGGCGACACCTAGATGGGTGACCTTGCAGGCTCACGTGCCATGGCTGCATAGGAGCAAGTCCTAGTTGAGCCAAAAACAAGCACTAACAAGTAGTCGGCCGTGACCTCCTATAGGCCTACCTCTGAGGAGTCCTTGGGAGGAGCCACAGTCAAGCATCCAAAGCATGTCTCCACGTGCCGCTGAGTGGAAGAAGGGAAAGTAAGTGTGTTGTGGTCTGAGCACCCAGAGCGGGCAGGAGATGCCGCCGCAGGGTGGCAACCAGAGGACGAGGCTGTAGTTCAGGTCACTGAACTCGGGACCAGCTGCTGCAGCCCCACACCCTTGATTCTCCTTTAAGGCCGTGGCTTCATTTCAGGGGAAGTGAGGCTGCCAGCAGGGCAGGTGATGCCTGGAACAACCTGGCCACCTGTGCCTGGGGGGAGGGGGTTATTCATTCTCCTTCCCTCCCCCTCCATGGCCCTCTGGCCTGAGATGGAGAAGAGGAGGAAGTAAGCAGTGACCCAGCTCGTGGCCTAGAATGTACTTTGGATGATTGCATTTGGGTGACTGCTGTGTTTCTTATTTAATGGTCTAGCAATTGGAAAGATAGCTAAGTGCAGAAGGGAGGTGCAGAATTTCCCTTACATTTTTCTGGTAACCTGATCTGGACATGCACCCAGGACAACATGATGGGGGAAGAGGAGATGTGGGGGGGGGCTTCATAGTGTGAATTATTTCTTTTCATGTAGCAGATGTCCCAGCACTGTCAAAAGAAATAACCCATAGTCTGATTTTTTTCCCCTTCTTTTTATTAGTTTAATCTTAGTTATAAAAAATACAGAGAGCAAAAAAAAAAAAGGAAATTAAACTCTCGCCCATAAGTTTCCCTCCTGGAGATAATCACTATGAGCATTTGATATCTACCCTCCCAGCCTTTCTGAAATCAAATGTGAGACTGTGCTGCATGTGCTGTTGGTAGCCCACTTTCTTCACTTAATAATATTCTCCTCTTATAAAATATTCCTCTACACCACCCTACATTGTGTGGATGTCCATTCCATGCACACACCGCTATTTCTTGGACACTCTGACAAACATCCTTTAAGATAACGACTATGTTCTTACCTGCAAGTATTTCCTCAGGCTCAATTCCAAGAAATGGAATTTCTGTGTGAAAACATTTTTAAAGCAAAGATGCAATTTTAAAGTAACCATGCTTAGCATACTGTTCTATCTCATCAAATGTTGGAATTTTGGGGGAAAATTGTCAAAGTTTATAAAACCAACGGCTTGTCACCACCATTCTTCTTATTGTGATCATTGCATTTGTTTCCCACTTGCCATGAGGGTAAATTTCCAGCTAGATGTCGTCCCCAGATTGTGTGACTGAACGCTGTCATAACACTCATTAGCACTAATACGTTACTCCATTAAACCTCAAGCGCAGGCTCTGTAGGTAGTATCATTACCCCTGCTGACAGATGACGTAACCAAGCCACAAAGAGATGATATAACTTGTCCAAAGTCACACAGCAAAGCAGGATGCAAATCCAGGCTGTCTGGCTGCTGCACGTACACAGTCTCCTTTTGCCATAAACACCAGCAGCACCGTAGTTGAGTGTCGCTGGAGAGCCATGTGTGCGAGTGCCTAATCCCCCTGATAACTTGGTGGGATGAGACACCCAGCTGACTTGGTCCCAGGTCTTTGGAGAGTAATCGCTGTGCCAGAACCCACATTTGTGTCTGGCCTCCGCCTGGCTGTGGGCCCCTCCTCCGTCCCACCAGGCCTGGAGAGTTGCTGGTCAGGAGAGCACTCCAGTGACTGCTCGAGCTGGAGGTGGGGGGGGGGGCGGGGCTCGGACCCACCAAAGACAAATCTTCCTGTTATTTTCTGTCAGTTTCTATCCTCCAGGCCTGCGTAAATACCATCTTCTCCTAACATTCTCTAACCGCCCTATTCAAAAGACAGTCACAAGCACTTTTTTTTTCAAGATTTATTTATGCGTACAACAGCTGGGGTACAGGCCAGAGATGCAGGGGTTGGGAGGATTCACCAGAGACAGAGTGGGGAACAGAACAGGCAGATTGGCTGAAATACTCTGCTGAGGGGAGCAGCGGGCAAGTCAGGAGAGATCTGCTGCGCCATGTGGGTTGCTCCCTGGGCAGCGGGGATTGAACTCATGTTGCAGAGGCCGCAGATTGCTTCATAGTGCGGTGCTTAACCCCTCGCACCACCAGGGAGGCCCTCTCAAGCATTTCTTATCTCCCTCCCCGACTTTACCTTAATTTTACAACGCCTGACGTACCGTGTTTGTTGCTTACACAGCCTCACTCAGGCAGACACGCTCTGCTCAAAATAGGAGCTCCATGGTGGAGGGACGCTCATCTGCCTGTCACTGCTGTAAGCTTGGTGCCCCCTGGCACATAGTAGGCAGTCAGAAAATAGTTCCTAAATAAGCAAATGGGTCTTCTGAGATTTTGATGTTGAAAAAATAATGAGCCAACTCGGGGAGAAGAAACATGTCTTCTCTTGGCCCAGACAAGTGGGGAGAAATGCACCTTTTGAAAGGAACACGCCTCATTTGCCATTTGTCCCAAAGGTGTCAGAAAGCCTCGTGCAGCGAGACGGCGACTTCCTGGTTCGGGACTCTCTGTCCAGCCCCGGAAACTTTGTCCTGACCTGCCAGTGGAAGAACCTCGCTCAGCACTTCAAGATCAGCCGGACGGTCCTGCGGCTCAGCGAGGCCTACAGCCGCGTGCAGTACCAGTTCGAGATGGAGAGCTTCGACTCCATCCCCGGCCTGGTGCGCTGCTACGTGGGCAACCGCAGGCCCATCTCCCAGCAGAGCGGAGCCATCATTTTCCAGCCCATCAACAGGACGGTGCCCCTGCGGTGCTTGGAGGAGCGCTACGGGACCTCCCCCGGCAGGGCCTGGGACGGCAGCCTGGCAGAGGGGAGGCCCGACATCGCCAAGAGGCTGAGCCTCACCATGGGCAGTGCCCAGGCCCGAGAGCAGAGCTCGTCCAGGGGAAACCTCCTCAGGTGGGTCAGGGCCTCCCCGGGGGTGCAGGGCTGTGAGGGGCGCCCGGGGCGCGCCCAGGCTCAGGCAGCTTGCCCGGCAGCAGAGGGGACGATGAACACGGGTAACTGGAAACACCCGGTGCTGTGGATCAGCTGTCGCGAGGAGCGCAGGGCCAGTTCCCAATTGAGTTGATCCCAAAACAAGTGGTGACGTAGGAGAGAGGTCGGGCGGGCCGGGAGAGGCTCTGAGAAGGAGGGGGGACTGCGGCTGGTCTGCGGGGCAGGGGACATTGGCCAGAGGCTGCGAAGGGAGGGAGTGCGGGGAGCGGGCGTAGCATGAACATGAGTGTGGCCTTAATGCCAGGCTTCCGGTCTGAGGGGCCTTGGAGGCTGGACGTGGCGACAGGGTGCCCTCAGAGCAGAATGCGGGCGTGCTGGGCAGGAGGTGAGGAGAGCGAGGTGCTGGAAGACGAGTGCTCGCAGGTCAAGAACGTGGGTAGACCAGGGCGGGGAGAGGTGGCCCGGGGGCCGGGGTTCCAGGACTCTGGGGAGTGTCAGACAGACACTCTGGTGTCAGACGGAAGGTAGAGTTCGGAGGAAAGACAGCTGCTGTTCCCAGGTGGGATGTGGGCTTGCTGAGTGCCAGTGTCCACTAACAGTTTGGGGGTTCAGGAGGGAAGTTAGGCCTGGCGGCTTAGATTGGGGCTGGGTGCACAGCGAAAATAGACCAGAGTTCTCAGCCAGGAGAGCCTGGGGGCTGTGGTCTGAACCTTGGAGCATGGGGTGGAGAGTTCCGAGAGTGGGGCGTCCGGGTGGGGCCCTGCTGGTCACTGTCGGCGACACGCTATGTACACGTCACGCGGGCAGCTGAGAGCCCTGTGCGTGTCCGCTGCTGTGCAGGAGCGGCGAGCAGGGAGGAGGGGGCTCAGGTAGAAGGAAGACCAGCCCCCCGCTTCTTGGCGACACAGCTCCCCTCCGCCCTGGCTTCTAAGCTCACACGCTTAAACCTGCTTTATTCCACTCACTGGTTTCCTCCCTGGATCACGAGGAAATGTCCTGAACTGTCATGTCTAGACTTTAAAAATTTGGAAGCAAATACAAGACTCTGAGTAACACGGGTCACAGCTGTGCTGCCAGGACGCTCGGGCAGATGTTAGCAAGCACGCGGCCGCGGCGCCACCTGCCTGGGCTCCAGGGCTGGTTCCCCGGGGCAAGCGGCTTCCTTCTCTGCGCCTCGCTTTTCACCTGAATGATGGGGCCGTGGGGGTGAGTGAGTCAACAGAGCGTGATGATTCACCAGGTAAATGAGATAAGCCAACGTCTTGGAGCCAGCATGCAGCAAGCGCGGGAAGTGTTAATTATTATGGTTTACTGGGCAGTAGACCCAGGACCCAGGGAAGTTGCAGGCAGGGAGGCAGGAACTGATACCTAGAAAATCTCTCTTTCATGGTAATAAGATTGGACTTGAGACCCTTTTTCAAATATCAAAGGGCGCCTTTTCTTCTGTTTCTTTGGGGAATGGGGTTTAGCTGTTTAACTGATGAACGGGAAGTTTATTTCATGGGTGGCCAGGGTGAGTTTGACCTGCATAGGAGGGTGCCAGGAGGTCTGCCCTCAGCAACTCAGATTTTAAATACATATATTTTTTACAGTGAAAACTGAGGATGTCTCTGAAGTCCGTGAGCCGGCCATGCAGGGCACAGACATCAGGTCCCGAAAAGTCTAAACGTGGGGGTGGGGTAGGCTCACTGTGCCCGGCCCACTGCCCCGTGGGGCCCCCATACCTCCCTGACGTCAGGCCCGCTGGTTGGCTGGCAGCAGAGGTGTGAGCTCTGCCAGGTAGCATTCCAGGCCAGTTCTGGGCCATGAAGTCTGGCCACTCCTGGTGATCTCTGCTTAAATGTCACTTCACAGACGCCGTTGCCTTCGGAATTTGCCCTCTGTCCTGCCTTATCTCTGAGGAGTTGCTGGAATTTTCTCTGTTGCTGGGAGTTTGGGGGTTTTGGTTTATTTATTTTGTCCTTTGGTGCTTGCAAAGGTAGGAAAGAACTTCTCGATTTCTGTAACATAAGCTTGTGGGAGGGCCAGTTAACATGCATTAAAACCTGGCGGGTGCAGAGCTTTCTCTTAGCAAGAGAGAGTCTGTTCCTTGGTGCTAATTAGAGACATTCCCAGTCTGAATTGGAAAGGGACAGAAGGAACACAGCTAATTGGCAAGTTACCTGTCACCTTTTCCCTGGCGGCTGTGAGCTGTGCCTCCGGCTGCTGGGGGGGGGGGGGGGGCGCTGCTCATCCCCACCCCTGGGTGGGAACCAGGAGGACTGTGACAGCCTCAGGGTGAACCTGGCGCTTATTTTGGGGGGTGCTGAGATTTGCACGGAAATAGAACTTGCCCCACTGCGTCCTTCCTGGGACAGTGTGAAGCGTGGTCAAAAAAGCATGTTCATTCAACAAGTCATTTCTCCTGGGTCTGTAAGTAATTTGACTGTTAAAAGTACACATTCCAGCTCATCAGCGTTTCCTGAGGGCGTCACGGAGCCTTTCCCTTGCCCTGTGCAGGGGGTGGGAAGGCTCAGAGGTGGCCTCCGGGGGCTGGACAGGGCTGGTCAGGGCTGGTCGTGGGCCCTGGTGGGGCTGGAGCCCGCAGCCCTCACCCATCAGGCACTTCTCCTCCAGGCGACATTCCTGTTCCGATGGGGGGTGCTCCAGCCAGCACTCCCGTTCTGCGCGTTTTTTCTTTTAAAACTTTCCATGACGCTACATAAAGGTTTTTACGATTTAATGACACGTTTCTGCCCCGCTTGTCTTTTGCTTCAGAAACAGAGAGAAGAGTGGCAGCCAGCCCGCCTGCCTGGATCACATGCAGGAAAGGAGAGCCTTGTCCCTCAAAGCCCACCAGTCAGAAAGTTTCCTGCCAATTGGTAGGTGTTTGGGAAGTTTCGGGGAGGAGGCTGACCGTGTTACTCTGATTTCCTTCAAGGTTTTCCTGGCTCCATCTGGTCACCTACTGGGGCAGACATGGGGCGGGGGCGGGGGGTGCGGGGTCTGTAGCAGAATAGGGGTCACTGAGCTGCGTGCCTTTCCTTAGCTTTCAAACTTCACAGCAGCCTTCAGGATGGGCACAGTTGTCCCCTCTGTGCAGCTGAGGAAACTGAGGCACAGAGGTTATGTAACCTGTCCAGTCATCCATCTGGTAGGTGGGAAAGCCAGAATTTGAACCCAGATTTTCTGATCCTGGTGGTCCTCAGAAAGCCCATTTGTAACAAGTCGTCTTTATGGCAGGCGAGCTTGCTCCTCTGCCCCCTGCCTAGGCAGAGGGTGAGTGGCTGGTGCTGAGGCACCCAGGAGAGCGGATCCTCTCCATTGCCCTCACAGCCAGGAGGCGGGAAGGTGTGAAGTGTGGGCAAACCTAGCAGCAAAACCCCTTTGTAAACTGCTTATCTCTATGCCTTTTCCCCCATCCCTGTGTCTCCAGCTTCCCCTTGAGGGGATCCACTCTGGCTTGGAGTGACTCAGGGCCCTTCATGGACGTGGCTAAAGACTTGTCTGTCCCAGGGAGCGATTAGATTACTCACTGCCCTCCTAGCACAAGGTGTCTTCCTGTTCTGACTGTACCAACCGCCTGTGACCATGTAATGACATTGGATGGAATTTACAATGGCCCCCAGAAGTGGGGTGGGGCCGGCTTAGCCCTTGAAATGCTCGAGACTTCTCGAGGAGGGGCGAATTTGCTTTTGGGAGAGATCAAAACCCAAGGGCGTGACCTGAGCACCAGGAGCTACAGTAGTTTTGTTTTGAGTTCTCCAGACAACGAAGTGTGTTCTGACCCTCACTTATCTCCCACAGGCTGTAAACCACCCCCTCAGTCCCCCGGTGTGGACACAAGCCCCTGCCCAAACTCCCCCGTTTTCAGGACGGGCAGCGAGCCCACGCTGAGCCCGGCCGTGGTCCGGAGGGTGTCCTCGGACACTAGGGCCGGGGAGGCTCTGAGGGGCTCAGACAGTCAGCTGTGCCCCAAGCCGCCTCCCAAGCCCTGCAAGGCACCCTTCCTCAAGGTCCCCCCATCCCCATCCGCCTGGCTCCGCTCAGAGGCCAACTACTGTGAACTCAACCCGTCCTGCAGCGCGGCCGGTGACCGGGGGGCACGGCCACCCTTCCCCGCCCAGGACAGCTACGTGGAGCTGCTGACAGCCAAGCAGAACGGGGCCCCGGCGCCCCGGAACTCTGGCACCAACTACTTGATTCTTGATGACGACGATGGGACAAGGCCTTGGGGGCCCCTGGCCTCACAGATGGACAAGGGGCAGGAGGACAAAGGCACGTTTGCGCTGCCCCTCCTGGAGACGGCCTCCTCGTTCAGGCCCAATGACTTTGAGTCGAAGCTCCTGCCCCCCGAAAACAAGCCCTTGGAAACAGCGATGCTGAAACGCGCCAAAGAGCTCTTCACCAGCAGCCACCCCCGGGTCATCGCCCAGCACATCCTGAGCGTGGACTGCAAGGTCAGTGCCTGGGATGCGGGTTTTGTTCTGGCTTCTGAGCCCTTGGAAGGGGATCCGTCTGGGCCTTGCTCTGCCTCGCCCTTGGGGAGCTTTACTCACAGCAGCCCGAAGATAACCTGGGTGCTGATTTATTTAAGGGGTGGGAACCACAGGTCAGGACAACCTTTGCTCAGGCGGGAAGCTTGTAAAACTCACCTTGGACAGAGGGCTGGCGGGCCGCGGCTCACCCCACCCCGTCCCTGCTGGCATCTCCCCTGCGGGGTCCTCCTGCCTGGTGCTGATTTTAAAATTCTCCCCGACCTCCGCTCTGTCAGAGCTGGTAAAACCCGAAGGAGAGTAGATTAATGATAGAGGAAAATGTCGTCTCTGGAGTCGCAGAGCCTGGGCGATTTCTAGCTCGTTATATGTTACAGGTGTGCACGTTTACGTATTTACTTCATTATTCCTAAACTGGCCCTCAGGGTGAATGTAAAGTCGCTAGAGGGTGACGTGGACTCGACCCACCCCCCACAGTGACAGGAGACTGATCAGTGTTTGAGTAGCCGGTGAGGCCTGCGTGAGTCACAGCCCTGTTCCTTCTGGAGCTCAGTGTCATCGGGTAGCTCGTCCATCAGATTAGTCCTGAGGCAAAGAGTCAGGATTCATATAGGAACTGGGTTTTCTTAAATAAACGCCCAGGGTCATGAATCATGGCAGGAATTCTCGTCTCTGAAGACTCTCCCGGAAGGGCTTCAGTTGATGGAGGCTGCACAGAGGGGCCTGGGCCCTCCCAGAACAACCTCGAGGATAGTAAGGCAAGCCCTGGCTGTCCTGGGATGAACAACATCCTTCTGGAAAACCAGAACCACAGCGACAGGCCGGGAGCCTGGGGGTGACCCCATCTAGGGCCTCCGTAGGAAGCTCCTTGTGGAAACCTGGCTCTGGGTGCACAGAGCAGCGGCAGTCCCAGGAGGGGCTGGACCTTCTCCCTGCGGCCTGATGCTGTCCAGGAGGTGAGGCGCCTGAGCACCTCTGCAGGGCCTGTCCCACCACCGTGGCAGCCATGGAGCTAGAGCCCAAATCTGTTCTCGCCCAAGGGTCAGGCCGCCTCCCCTCGCTCTTGCTGTTTCTCTCACTGCACTTGGATCTCCTGGGGAGACCCACGCTCCTGTCTGCCTGGAAGAGGAACCGCTGGGAAGAGGAACTGCTGGGCCCCAGGCAGCAAGGCAGAACCTGGAGCGGGGACCTGGCTGGACTCTGCCGTCCCCAGCCCCCAAGGGCAGGACTGCTTCGTCTGCCTTCTCCCTTCCTGCGCCTGCCACCATTTCCTTACTCTCTTCCGGGAGCCACTGACTTCAGGGCTTTGCCACCTAAGCAGGCACAACTAGTATATCTAAGAAGGAAATAAAATTAGGGCCATTGTCATCCTCGCCAAATGCAGTGGCAGCCAGACAGGGCCACCCGAAAGCCGGGAGCAGGCGCCAGGCAGCATCTGGGGCCCGCATGCGGAATCCCACCCTGAGCACCAAGCCTGGGGCTAACGCCCAGAAAGGCCATCAGAACAACTGGGTGGTCCTGCGGACCCCTCCCCAGAGCTCAGTGCCGGGGTGGGGTGAGGAGACACTGCGGTTCCCCCCACCCTGCAAATGAGCATCGCCTTGGCCTCACCCAGCCCGCCTGGTCCACATAAGGGCCACCCTCCCGTCGCTTGTGCTGGCCCTAGCAAGAGGTGAGGCCTGGCAGCTGAGAGCCCTGCTAGGGGATGAGGTCTCTGAGTCTAGTGCTGCCCACACACCTGCCGCGCAGCCTCTGGGGGCTCCTCCCCACCTGCAAAACAGAAGTGAGTCTGACTACCCGGGCGGTGTGAGGACTCAGTAAGTTGACACATGGAGGCCTCTGCACCGGGCCTGGCCAGAGTGAGCTGGACAAGTGTTTATTTGTGTTATTACTCAGCCTGATTGAGTGCCTACTGCGTGCCAGGCGAGACCAGATCATGGTGTCTGCTGTGGCAGTGCCGGCTGCCTGGTGGGGGGAGAAGGGGATGATGCTTGGAGCACAGCAGGTGGGCAGTGCTGTGTGGGGGCAGGCGCAGAGTCGTGGGGCCTCCCCGGGGCAGGGTCTTGAGCCGAGCAGGATGTCTGGGGCCTTGAAGGCTGAGCAGGACTGGGCCCGAGGAGGATCGCGGAAAAGCATCCTGCAGGCGTCAAGCAGCGCACATGTGCAGACTGAGACGTCGCAAATGGCGACGGAGCTTTGGAGTACAGAGAATTCGCTTTGTGGGGGCGGGTGGAGGTGGGGCTGGTGTGAGAGAGGCCAGTTGCGCCCTTCAAATCTGGGGGGACAGGATCCAGACAGATCCGAGGCCCTGTGGAGGGCCGCAGAGATGGCACTCGCATCGCAACTTAAAAGATCCCTTGACAAGTGGGGGAGAGCTGGGCCAGGGCCCCGTCATGGCTCCCCCAGTCACTGCAGTGGGGCGAGGATGCAGATGTAGAAGATGGCAGGGCGGAGGGCGCCTGCCCTGGCGGGCCATGCTCATGGTAAATGCCCTAGAAATGCTTCTCCTCCTCCCCGGCATATGAGCTGTGTGGCCCTGGTTTGGGCCCTGCGGTGTGAGGTTAGGCGCCCCTTGCACTGTGAGTCAGCCGGAAGCGGCCGCAGGACTGCACGTTTACAGGGGTCACTCTGAAGGTGACGCTTCCGAACAAAACCCAGTGCTGAGCCCTGAATCTCATCACATAGAGGGTGCATGGATTGGGGGATGCCCCACAGATGAGCTGGGTCTGGAGCTTCTGACGGGGCAGGTGGCTGAATAGGCAAAGTGTGCGTGCCCACGGTGATGGGCTGTGCGTCGGGGGTGGGCTGCCTTGCCGGGGTCGAGGAGTAAATCTTTGCAGAGAGCAGGCCAGCATTCTTCCCCTCTACGTGGCCCAAGAGTCACAGCTTGTATGTTCAGATTGATTTTGGGGCTTTTAAGGGCAGCTGATCCTTTGCAAAGTCCTTGAGAAAGATGAACTTAACGGCTGTGTTTAGAAGGGAAACTGAGGCCCATGAGTTCTGCCTCTGGACAGCGAATTCCCACAGGCTCATTTCCTTGGGGTTGACAGTGGCTCCTTTGCTCCACCACAGAAGTTAAGGATCAGGATTAATAATGTCAGCTAACGTTCCAGATGTTTCATTATTTTTTCACCTATTGGGGAGACATCTGGTCTGTTTATGAGTCTGGGATAATTACAGCCAAGGATGGCGTCACCAGATCCAGGAGAGGGATTGTCTGTGCCTGCCGAGAGTCCGGGGTTTCCTGGGCCTGTCTCTGCTAGGGCTGAGGCCTCACCAGCCCCATTTTAGAGACACGCTGACGTAGTTGTAACATTTCGAGGCAACATGTAATAACTATAAATGGCCAACTAATTCCTAGTTCTGATGAACTGTTGATTACATGCTAGAACTGAAGTGGGGAGAGCCACTTGGGGCAAAGAAAGATCTCCTTTGAGGAAGCCTCTCAGGAGAAGCAGTGGGGGTGTGAGACCTCGGTTTTTAAATCTCCATACAAGTTCTAATAGTTTCCAGACGGGTGGTACATTTCCTGAGCCAGGAGAGGCTTAATGAGGGATCATAGCAGCCAGCCCTGCCGCTAAATGAGAACGGGAATGGCAGGCCGCAGCCGAGGAGCCCTTGGGCGGGATGCTGCTCCTTCGCTTAGGGGCTCGGTCAGCTCTGCGCCCCCCGACCTGCTGGCATCAGGGTGCTGCAGCGGGATCCCCTCGGAGAACCAAAGCACCCTCCGGTGGGAAAGAAACCCCAACTCTGTAGACTCTAGGACAGTTTCAGTGTTCCCCCCCCCAGCTTTACTATTCCAGTGTGTGTATGAAAATCCCCCAAATACACAAGCTGTACTTTCAGATGCTGCTGCTCAGAAAGCCATGCCCCGCGCATCAAGTGTGCGTCCACGCCGCCTGGCTCTGTGGGTCTCTTCCTCCCTGCTCCGGTCAGGCCTGCGTCACGCCACCTCCTGAGGCTGTGTGTTGTGTTCTCGCCAGGTCACTCGGATACTTGAAGTCTCTGACGAGATGAGGAGGAACATGGGCGTGAGCTCAGGCTTGGAGCTCATTACCCTGCCCTACGGTCACCAGTTGCGCTTGGACATAATTGAAAGGTGAGTCGCACTGTCCCTGCCTTTCCGTCCCTTGCTACTCCCCGCGGGCGACTCTCACCCCAGCCGCCGCCTCATTTGCACGGCCCCGTGCAGCGTTTCCCAGAAGTCCCCAAGGGATTCCTGGAGGTGCACGGAGACAGGACAGAGGAAGTCAGGGCCGTTCATGTCCCTGCTTCTGAGGGGCGGGAGGAGAGGGCAGTTGACCGGCCTGGGAGCAGGCGGGGTGCGAGATGCCCTCCTGTCACCTAGGGCCTCATTCAGCTGTGGCCCTTTTGTCTCTTTGGAGTCAGAGATTGCTTTTGGAACTAAGTGGGGCCTTGTGGGGAAGTTTGGTAAGATCAGAGTCTGAACAGTGTTTTCATTGAGGGGTAGACGAAACGGGAGTCAGAGATCAGGGGGTGACGGCCCCCAGCCTCCGCGGCATCACTGCCCTCTTCTCGTGAAAAGCCGGGGCTCTGGCGGGCCATTAAAACTCACACCCGGGAGTGCTGGGTGTTGAGAAATTACATAGGATACATAGTGATAAATCAGAAATTATAAAGGTAGCAATAATGACGCATGTTGTAAGAAACATTAGACTCTCCTATTACTGTAGAAGTTGATCTTTTTCTTTCTCACACACACACAAGTTGATTTGGGCAAGACTCCCTTGTTATCTTAAGTTCACTGTTTTCCAACCGATTTTGCAGTTGCCATTGTTGTCGGGCAGAAGGAGGGGCACCCTGGGGCTCCCCAACCTGCCTGTTCTAAATAGGTCTGCCATCCGCGGCATCAAGATAAAACATACTGTAGCGTGTAAGACATTAAATAGAAAATAACTTTAATACAATGAGTGAGTAATAAAGAGAAAAGAATGTAATTAAAAGAGTTCCCAGTTAAACACCCAGCGTTACCCAGCCCCTCGTGGGTAATGTCCAAACAGGGTTGGCCCAAAGCAGACCTAAAAGTCTGCCACACGTCTAAGGCACCTCTGGGACAGGAGCAAAACAAAAGGACAAGTCAAAATAAAGGCTGCCATCGTCAGCCTCCCCCACATCTGTCTCTTTCAGGGGTGTCTTTCCATGTCCCCCAAGTCCCTGGTGCAAAGTCTAAGGCCGAGAAGCAAGTGTAGCTTTTTCATGTCTCTGCTGCATGTGCCTCCTCCAGGTCCTCTTCTCGATCTCCTCTGTTCCTTCACCCCGTCTTCTCCAGCTTCTCCTCCCTGCTCAGCTCCACCCTTCCTTGGATGGGGCAGAGAACCTGGAACTTTGCCTTTCTCTGGGGACCTCCCTGTTACACCATGACTAGCCGCCCATGGCTTTATGTGCCCACCTCACATCTCGGTCGTCCAGTAGTGTCCAGCGCTGTCCATACAGCTTTCTGTGATGGCTGAAATGTTCTTATCACTGCAGTCACTCCCTCTATTGAGTGTAGACAGCCACATGTGGCTAGTGGACAGTGCAGTCCCAGGATGTCAGCCCCGAAAAAGTCATGTGGGTCTGTCAGCCTGGGGAGGCCAGTCCAGCTATTCCCATGGTTCCCTGGCTACAGGGGCTGCCGTGCTGCTCCTTGGCCACTGCTGCTGTGGCTTCACAGCCGCTCCATAGAAGCAGCCCGAAGCTGAATGTTAGCCTGAGGGCGCCCCGGCAGTGGTCTGGGCTGACTCTGGGTGGGCATGGCTGCTGTTTCCAGCACTTGGGCAGCTGTAGATAGGTCTGACTTCTGAATTGTCCTGCTTTGCTAGATTCTAACTTCTCCCCGGCATCCCCTTCCTTCCTCGGGAGCCTGGGGCTGGCTTCTCGTTTTCACTTCCCTTCTGGTGTGGTCTGGGCCCAGTGGTCACTGATTCAACAAGAGGAGCTGGGCTGCCGCATCGCCACCGCATTCCCCCGTTTCTCATGTGATCCTTCCAGCCTGAAAACTCCCCAGGTTCCAGGCCTTCCGTTCTAGAATGTGTGCTGGGCCCAGGCTGAGGTGGACAAGTTTGGGAGTCTCTGGAGACAGTTTTCTGACTCTCCCTTGTCTACATCCATTTCTCTTTCTCCTGATTTGTTGCTCTTCAGCTGGTGTCCTGCCAAGGGATCGACTGAGGACCTACTTGCTAGAGCCCGGGGAGTGGTTTTCATTACCATATGTTTACTAAATATAGCTATCCTGAAGTTAGGTGACGTCATCTTGCATTTGAGAATCAAGTGCAAAAACCACCCTTTATTTGTAACTCCCTGCCTCGCCCATCCCGGGCCTGAGTGGTAATGTCCTTCTGCATGACACTTAGCGCCCCTGCGGCAGACCTTCCAACGCGGAGTTGCATACACACGTTTCAGGCAAATGCTGGTTGAAATAATGGAAACCACTAACCCAGTTGACGGTTGCTCTACATCAGGTCTCACAGAAGTAGAGGACTTGTCTTTTATTGAGGGCCTTTAAAACATAGGAAGACGACACTGAATGAAGGACTGATCGAAGACCACGTAAGAGGTTAGTTTACTGTTAAAGAGACACCTGAAATGTTTGAGCCATAACACTATTCAATAAATACAGCAGATAATATAACATTTTAGTCTGTTAGAATCCATTAACGCCAAAAAAATAGTTAACAGGTAAATAGAGAAGAAAAAGAAAACAGGTAAATAGATTAAAACGTAGAGGGAGAGATGGCACACACCGGCAGGTGTAGAGCTGCTATAGGCCAGGGGCCGGCCAGGCACTTAATTTTTGTACTGCTAGATAGTGCGTAGTCCTTGTTGCAACCCTTGTTCCCATTTTACAGATGAAGAAATGGAGGTGCAAGCAGGTAACAGTGAGTAAGCTCCATAAATATGTATGTACAAACCATCTTAGACAGCAGAGCTCACCAGTGTAAAGAACATCAGAGAATGTGGTAATGCTGGGCACTGCCTCCCTTGGCTCATGGAGAGAGAGACCAACACGCATGGGCAGGAGAGAAGCGTGGCTGTGGAGCAACATCCTTAAGCTGTGACCTTTTAGGAGGTGGCCCCAGAGGCATGTTGTATTTTAATAACCACGGCTATGAATCGAAGTTTCACCACCACTTAGACTGAAAAAAATGTAACTCAGGCAGTTCTAGCCCAAGTCTGGCACCTCCCTGGTCCTGATGTACCGAAGGAACGAGAAGGCTTGCCGCCTGCGCCGCCGGCCACCACCGAGACTGCCGGGGCGACCCCGTTGACATCAGTCCCATTGTGGAGAGAAAAGATCTCTGCTTCCTGTCTGGGGCTGTGAGGCTGACCGTGTAGTTCAGGAGGAGAAAAAGGAGGATTGTTGGCAGATAGAAGTTTGCGATTTTATTAGGGTCTGGCCTTACAGGAAGTCCCGCCCAGTCAGCTATTCATTCTTTGTCGGCGTCTCATTTACTTTCTGGCCTCTGGAGAGTGGGCTCTCCGTGCTTAGCCTCTCATTCCTTCCCTTTGTTTGAACAGCCGTGTCGTCTTCCTGGAGCAAGCATGTGGTCTCATTTTCCTGTTCCTTGCGTTCCCCAGCCCCAGGGGCTCTCTGGAGGTGGCCTGGGGTTTCTCAGTGTGCATGCGTTGGAGGGCCCTGGTGTTCTTGGACCCCTCCACGTAGAAGGTGTAAGGAGCCACAGGCACTGAGTAGCCTCACCCAGGAAGGCCCTTTGTGCCCCCGTGTCCAGGACTATATGGCCCTTTTCTGGGACATCTGGCTTTGATTCTGTGCACTTGCCCCTCTGAGGTCTCCCCTAGGCCCTCTGCACTCAGTCTAGGTGCGGGTGGTCTCTGCTGAAATAAGTGATGAAACTGAGCTGCCAGCAGGTTGCAGGGCAACAGCAAGTGGTATGAACACAGTCTTTTCCTGGCCAATTTGGTTTCGGGTCCTCCTTGTCAGGTTGGCTCTTGATCTGACCACTGCTGTCCTTCCCTGCAGACACCACACAATGGCCATCGGCATTGCAGTGGACATTCTGGGCTGCACGGGCACCTTGGAGGAGCGAGCAGCCACCCTCAATAGAATCATCCAGGTGGCGGTGGAACTGAAAGACTCCATGGGGGACCTCTATGCCTTCTCAGCCATCATGAAGGCTCTGGAGATGCCACAGGTAAATTGTCTCGCTTTGAGCAGCCTTGTGTGTACTTCGTGCTCTGCACAGTGGTTTGTCAGCCTGTGCTACCAAATCAGACTTAGGCAAGCTTGAACAGGAAGATGACTCTTAGTGAAAGCTGCTTTGATTAGGAGGCAACCAAAAGCAGTGTCCTAAGTACTTGGGCTGTTTTTAAAAACAGTGCATAATTAGTGATAGCCCACACTTTCTCTTTGATGTACAATAAGAAAAACCAGTTGGGCTGATAGTTCTCGCGAAAGCGAGGCTGCTTCTAGCCCGGTCACAGGGCTCATGAGAGGCTGGAGTTATGAGTGGGACACTGAGGCGTTTGGGGAGCTTATATCTGAGAGTTCCTAGACTAGTTTATCTCGGGGTATACGCCCCAAGTCACCACATTCCTGTTAAAAAATTTGGAATCTTGGCCCATCTGCCATTCATTTCCAGAATTGGCACTTTATGAGTTTATCTGCTTTGATGGGCTGTTTTTAGGATGATTATCCAACCTGAGAATCTGTATGTGAAATTAGAGCAAAGTTGTCTTTGTGCGCAGCCTGCTTTCCTGCTTCTGTTTCGTAGCCCTCAGTGCTTGGAGGGCTTAGAGTAGGAAGTTACAAACCTGCAAGCCAAATCTGCCAGGGTCACATCAAAGCCACTGGTCATTTGGCCTCTGAAATCCTGGTGCTCACTGACACCCCATTACTGCTGAAGAGGGACACAGCAAATCAGCATATTAGGGACGTCATTTCCCTGTGTCACAGCAAGGTCACCTTAAAAATACGAAGGGCAACCATTGCCTTCACCAGAAAGAACTTTTTTTTTTTTTTTCAGGGCAGGGGGAGGAAACAATTATAATCCTGGGGCTTTCAAAATTCTTCAGGTGCAGTGGAATCTTGTAAAGTACTTGATGATATACTGATGTCTATAACAACAGGGATTATAATTTTTCATTCAGGTTTCAAATTTGCATATTTAGTTCCACTTATCAAAACGCTATTGAGAGGTAAACCAATAGGCTCCACTGCGTGTATGGCCCCTTGCCCAAAGCTTCCACAGGCAACTAGAAAAGGGGCTGTCTTGTGGGATCATGTGGTTCTGACTAGAGTCACATTTCCATGTCATCATCCAAACCTGCCCTGTACCTCAGTCACAGACGCTGCATTTTCTTCTCAGCTGCTAGTGTCGAGAACATCCAGAAAACAGGTGTAGAGACAAGGGCTTTTTTCCAAAAGATGGCCCTTCAGGAAGGGGGGACTGAGAAGTGAGAACATGGTGAGTGAGCAGAAGACGACCAACCCCACATCGTTTTCTGCTCAGCAAATCTGCTGCTGCCACTCTCCTGACTACATAGGGAGCGCGTCCTCTCTTACAGGCAAGGAAAGGAGTCTCAACTCTGCCCCTTACAAGCTGTGAAACCTTGGGCAATTTGTTTTATCTGTAAAACAAGGCCAGAACACCTGCTTTGCAGGGCATCGCATCGGATGCAGTCATGGCCCTCATCCCCTAAACATTAGGGCCCTTCCTTGTTCCTTGTAGAAAACATCACATACTTGGACTTGTTGGTTCTAAATAGGAGCATTTCCCTTAGGGTAGAGGAGCGGCATCTGCTGGTGTTACTCAGCTGTCCCAGAATGAATGAGTGGTGGCATCACACGGCCTGGGTAATCGTCTCAGCCTCGCGCACTTAAGACAGTTGGCAACACCTATCAAAATGTAAAATACATGTAACTCCAGTCCAGTAGTTCCACTCAAGGAAATTTATCCTCCAGATAGTTTCACACATGTACGTTTGAAAAAATCTTTGAGGAAAATGTTTAAAATTCTTACATATATACTAAATTTGGGTTTATCTGTATAGTGGATTATGCTGAAACAAAATAAGGTTGTTGTAGGTGTATGTTCATATTGATTTCTAAGCAAGGAACAGAAAAAGATGTATAATATGCACTTATTTTAAAAGGTTGTGAGGGGTTACCATCTTTTCGCTACATTCCTTTCAACTACTTAGAATTGTTTCTTAACCAGGTGCATCTATCACCTATTCCAAACTTACATGTAAGCAGACAGGAAATGTAACAGATACCTTTTTCTTCCAGATCACAAGGTTAGAAAAAACGTGGACTGCTCTGCGGCACCAGTACACTCAGAGCGCCATCCTGTATGAGAAGCAGCTGAAGCCCTTCAGCAAACTGCTGCATGAGGGCAAAGGTGAGGGCTGTGGGCACACTGGGGAAGGGAGGAGGGGTTGTTGGCCATCGGAGCTGTCATTGCATGACAGCACCACTCATAACAGGCCTTGGGCTACTAGTCCGCTCATTCCAGGCATAATTTTGGAAGAACTTTACCCCTTACTTTCAGAGTCCACCTGTGTTCCCCCAAACAATATATCGGTTCCGCTGCTGATGCCACTTGTGACATTATTGGAGCGCCAGGCTGTCACTCTTGAAGGAACGGACATGTGGGAAAAAAACGAGGAAAGCTGTGAGATTACGCTGAACCACCTGACCACAGCCCGCCGCATGGCAGAGGCTGCAGACAGCTACCAGAGGAACGCCGAGAGGATCCTGGAAGGTAAAAGCAGCTTTTCTCAGCTGGTCCTCACCTCCCTTACATTCCCTTCCCATAAACCATATACAAACCATGTATATTAGTGGGCAAGAACATCCAGCTGGGAAAGGCCAGTCTCCTCAGGAGAGCCACATGCAAACGAATGGAGCTTGATCACTCTCTTACACCACATACAAAAATTAACTTCAAATGGATTAAAGAGAGAAAACGAAACCACGAAACTCCTAGAAGAAAATACAGTAGACTCCTTGACACTTATCATGGTGATTTTTTTATCTGACCCCAAATATAACAAAAGCAAAAACCAGTAGGACCACATCAAACAAAAAAGCTCTGCAAAGCAAACACATTAACAAAGTGAAAGTGCAGCCTATTGAACAGGAGAAAATACTTGGCAAACCATGTATTTGATATGAGACTAATATCCAAAGAACTCAATAGCAGAAAAGCAATCCAATTAAAAACTGGATTACCACAATAAAAATTTTTAAAAAAGGAAAAGGATTGAAAATCTGAATAGACGTTTTTCAAAAAATGACATGCAAATGGCAAACAGGCACGTGAAAAGATGATCATCACTAGTCAGGGACATGCAAATCCAAAACCACAGTAACTATTTCACACCTATTAGAATAGCTATTATCAAAAAGACAAAAATGAGTATCGGTGAGGATACAGAGCACAGGAAATCTTTGTGCACACTTGGTGAGAATGTAAAATGGTATGATGAAATTGGTGTAAAAAATTGAAAATTAGAACTACCCTGTGATTCTACTCCTGGATAGTTATCTAAAGAAAATGAAAATGCTAACCTGAAGATGTAGGCACCCCAACAGTTTGCTGCAACATTATCTACAATGGCCAAAATACTGAACCAATTGTAAGTGTCCACCGAGAGATGATTGGTGGCTAGTGCTATATAGACACACACGCACAGTGTGGGATACACTCACAGTAAAAATAGTGAAATCTTGCCATTTGACAATATAGGTGGACCTGAGTATGTTATGCTAATATATGGTAAGTTGGACAAGTACGGTATGATTTTACTTACCTGTGGAATCAAACGAACAAAACTCAAATACAGGAATAGTCATTGCCGGAAGGTAGGGGATTAGAAGATACAAAGTTATACAATAAATCAATCTCCGGTATGTAAGGTACAGTAGATGACTATAGTTAATACTGTGTGCACTGAAATAGCGATGTACACCTGAAACTAATACATAAAATGTCAATTATACCACAATTAAGGAAAAATATTACTAAGTGAGCAGCATGTAGAGGTATATAACAATTTTGGAAAATAGTTTGATGGTTTTGTTAAAAATGTATATTTACCGTATGACCCAGTAATTTCACTTAGAGAAGTGAAAATGTGTTAGTAAAATGAATTATCCATAGAAATTGGCAACAGCCAGAAACTGGAAACAATCTACGTATCACTTGGTGAATGTGAATAAATAAAACGTGGACTGTCCATGTAACTGAATACTACTCAGCAATAAAAATGACATCTTGCTAACACACAATATGGAATATTCTCAAAAACATCATCCTAGTGAAAGAAGCTAGACACAATAAAGTCCACATTGTGTTTCAATTTATCTTATTTCCAGATAAGGCCAAATGATGATAGAGTACATCAGCAGTTGGCTGCTATCAGGGGTAGGACTAGGGAATGACTACAAGGAACTAAGTGAACTAAGTGAACTATTATAAATCAAATTGTGCAGTTAAAGCAGGTGACTCATGACATGTAAATGATAATAAAGCTATGAACAGACACACAAGGTACTTTTGAACACTCATTCCTATAGCCAGCAGCTTATGCATACAAATTTTACTCCAAAATCTGTATTTGAGTTGTTCTTTCTCCAGGGTGCTCAGGCCCTTGGAGGGAAGCCTAACCTTCTTTATGTAAAATAGATCCTATAGTTTTCTTGGAGGAGAAATGTTTTCATCTATGAGAGAAAGTGCAGTTTCATTTTGAATCTTATTTTCAACATTTGGTTTTAGGGAGAATTGAAGTTAACGTTTTGTTTTATTTTCATTAGGTTTTCAACCAGATGAAGAAATGAGTGAAATTTTCAAGACTGAATTTCAAATGCGACTGTTATGGGGCAGCAAAGGTGCACAAGTCAATCAGGCAGAGAGATATGATAAATTCAACCAGATTTTAACTGCCCTCTCACGTAAATTGGAACCTCTTCCTGTATAACAGGCGGAGTTTTGATCACTCTCCAGAGAACCATAGGATATATACTTCAAGCTTCTCCAGTTTCTTTGGGAAAGCTTATCATTTAAAGACATAATAATGTGCAAATACAACAACATACAAGCTTTTAGTATCCACAGGATATTAAACATGGAAGTTGCACACAGCACACTTATTTATAAGTTGTTTAAATTACTACTGATTTTTTAAATGAAAGATAATTTATTAAGTTAACTTGCTAATGCTGATCAGCAAATTTGAGACATCCTAGATATGTTGGTTGCTTTCTAGTAGTGAAGTATTTAACCACTTTAGTTTTTAATTATGTCAGATAAATGTAAATTTCAAGTTTAAAAGCATGAACCATTTCAAAAGGTATCAGTTGTATGATATTCTTTATATTTGAGAAATGTAAATAGTTATATGAAAATATATCTTTTTGTGAAACAAATGCATCCAGACTCTTTAATATTAAACAATTGAATGGAATAGTCATAACTCCACTGTCTGCCTCCCAGCACCCTCTTCCCCAGCCACTATGTCCTCATTGTGAACTAAAATCCATGAGTGGTACGGAAAATTTAAGGTTTCTAATTTAGGAGACAAACTGACTAGTGATACGGGGTGGGGCTGGCTCCAGAAGACCTATGATCAAACTCAAGCTGTGATGCTACTGGAAGTTTGGACTTTGTGATCACGTTAACCTCAGTCTTGTGTGCAGAGTGAGCACCCACGTTATATAGCATGCTTTATGCACCGTTTCACTTATTTCAAAATACCTCTAGGTAAGTATGTGACATGTTTCGGGGTTTTTTAACTGTTGTAGGAAATTTGCAACACAAGACTTTAAAACTTTCATTACTCTGTCACCAATCATCACTTAGCAATTTGCTTTTCTTCCTGTCACTGTCTGCTTAATAAAATGGAAGTAATAGTTTCAGTTCCTGAACTCTATTAACATGGCCTGGAATCATGAGGCCCATTACCATTTTTTAAAAGGAGACTGCCATCACACTGTTTATTTTTTATGTCTCATACAATGCACTCAGAAACCCATCTCACTACACTAAACCCTGAATAGATTTGTAATACAAGCATACCTTTTAATGGTTATTCTTTCACAGAATGAAAGGGACCTCTCCAAGGAACAATACTCACCTTCCCACCTCACTCTCCAAAAAGAACAGCTAATTTAAATCAACTCTTTAAGAGAATTTAAAAGCCTCGGTGGCCCTAGAGGCCAATACTGACATGAGCTCAGTGTCTTGGGAAGCTAAACATGAAATACCTCCATTAAGTAGGGATCCTTAAAGGGTTCCTGATACCAGGCTAGGGAAAACCACTAACCAGCAAAGAGTGGTTACCAGGAAACAGGCCTGTAGTTTCATGATAGCTTTAAGAAGAAATAATTATAATGACAACTCTCTTTGGGGAGGGTTTGACAAAATGTCCTCAAATAAATCTGGAATAAAATTTACTAAGCCCATCTTGAAATTTACTCTCTGAAGGAAAGCATCCAATATTCTCACAAATTTATATATATATATACACACACACACACACACACATATATATATATATATATAAAAAACATACCAAACACAAGCAGAAACACCACCATGAATAAAATTCTGACAAAATATTTAGATGCCCAAAACCTTCAGACACTAGGACGATCATTTTTAATACAATCATACTTTGGTGTGTATGAAGAAAAAACAAATTTGAGTATTAACAATGGCCAGATTTCAACAAAAACCAGGTAGAGATCTTTTAGAAGTATATGAGACTAAAAACTCAATGGGCACTAATAAACAGAAGATTAGATACAACTGAAGTTTTAATTCGCCTGAAGAGATACCTGAAACCAGTATCAGGATACAGCACATACAGGAAAGGAAAAGACAAGAAATTAAGATAAAGGATTGAAAATAGAATGACCCAATGCATCTCATCAGAGCTCCAGAAGGAAAAAGTGGGAAGATATTGACACAAAAGGTCTTAGGTTGGTGAGCAGAACTGGTAAGTTCACAGGTGTATCAAAGTGTCTACTATGTGAGACTTAAACAACAATTAAAATAGCACAAACCTGGAGTAGCTTGTGAGACCACACTCATTCTAGTGGCTCCCTTGCTAGAGTTCTGATGAAATCTTGATTAGCTTTGAGTATATAAAATGTTAAGGGTGAATATTACAAGAAAGAAAAACAGTCAAAATTTCAAACTAGTGGAAGAAAACAAAAATTATAAAGATAGACAGGAGAGTGAATAGATACAAAAAATCAGAGTAATCCAATCTTCTTAATAACCATTATAAATGTGAACAGACGACATGTCAGAGATGGCCAACTAGATAAAACTTTCTACTGTTCAGAAGAAACAGATAAAGCATTAAGACACACACAAAAAATTTAAAACTATAAGAAAGGTCAGGATAATTTCAAGAGGAAACAGGGAGTAATTTGTAAATGGATGTGGATTTTGGGAGTGCTAGCAATGCTTTATTTCCTGACTCAGATGTTGACTTTCTAGTATCTTAAGCTATACCCTTATGTCTCATGCATTTTTCTGAAGGATTACAATGAATATTAAAACATTTAAATATATAACATCTAGGAATATTTCTAACTGAATTTTTCTAACTTGAAGATGTTTTAAAACATTTAAAAGCCTGAAAAACACTAAGGAAAATAAACAGAAGCACCATGTTCTAAATTAAAAAATTCCATCAGAGATTAGTTTTTAAATTGACCTATAATCTCAATTCAATCCCAATAAAAATCCAACATGATTTTTCAAATTAACTTTTGTCAAGTTTTTCCTAAAACTTAACATGGCGAGGAATAGTCTAGACCATTCTAGGAAAACAAGGTGGAGGGGTGTGATGTAGGAATACATTCTACCAGATAGGAAACTTCTTTGTTAAGCTATGGTGATTAAGAAGTTGTCATTAGAAATTTGATATATGACAGAAATAATGCCAATCATTGGGGGAAAGGATGATTTCTTAAATAAAATTTTGAACAACTACTTAAGCAAATGAAAGGGGAGGGGGGGAAATTGTTCACTTCTTATCTTGCACCAGCATAAAATCTAAATGAAGAACCTACATGTGAAAGGAAAACCTACAACACTTTTTAGAAGAAAACAGAGTATCTCTCTTTACTTTGACTTAAAGAATTCCTTAAACTAGACCCAAAAAGGGGTTAAATATGAAAAGTGGATCTACATTAAAATCAGTTTCTAGTCATTAAAAGATAGCATAGACTAGAAAACTGGAAAGAACTGAAAAATGTTATTAGCAACACATAAAACCGACAGGATCAGTGTGGCACACAAACTCCAAGATGGTCCAAGTGTTCTCTGTCACCTGGCATTCATACCCCTGCACACAGGCACCAGGGTTGGTCTGCATCACCAAGTACAGAGTTGACAGTAATGGTTGTCACATCTGAGACTAGGTCATAAAGTGACTGCACTGCCCTCTTGGGAGTTTTCTCTGTTGAATCACTCACTTTGGGAAAGCAAGAAGCCAGGCAGCGAGCAGCCCTATGAAGAGGTCGACATGGCAAAGGACCACATCCTGCCAACAATCGTGAAAGATCTTGGAAGTGGACTCTCCAGCCCCAGCCAAGCCTTGAGAGGACTGCAACCCTAGCCGATACCTAAGCTGCAAATTCCTGAGAAAAGGAGCCACAGTAACCAGCTGTGTTACACAACAAGAAGAAACTAACACAACTTTTCCAAAGACAACCAACCAAAGTAAAAATGGGCAAAAGAGTCTTTTCACAGAAATGGAACCAAACAGTAAACATGAAAAGATACTCAACTTCAATAATCAGGGAAAAGCAAATTAAGATTACAATGAAATGTTACTGTACATCTGTTGAATTGATAAAAGTTAAAATGTTTGCCTCATAAGTGTTGAGCCTAAAAGTACAAAAATGCTAGTCACTTAGGAAAATGTGGCATAACTAAAGGTTGAAGTAATCCACAGCCTGACAATCCTACTCCCAGGTACAGTCCTTAGAGAAGCTCTTCTAGCAGTAAACATGCACACAAATATGCACAGCAGCACTGTTTATACTAGCCAAGTTCAGAAAATAGCTCAATGCCCATCAAGAGGCAAGTGGATAAATTATATACACTTAAATAATGGAATGCTATACACACTAAAATGAACTATGCACGAATAAATCAATCTTAGAACAATGTTGAGTGAAAAAGCAAGTCTCAGATGATACCATGCATTTCAGACATTTAACAAATGGGATGCTACTATATAAATCATCTACAAACGAGTAAATTACTATATAAATCAATGCAAAAAAAAAGTTGAATCATCATATATTTAATCCCTTTTATTGTTTAAACAAGCCATGTAATAAAACTTTATGAATGCTTTAACTAAACAGAACTGCACTAATCATTCCCAAATCATTTGTTTAAACGAACCGCTGACCACTGGTTGAATTTTTTATTTGACATGGCTGTCACCAGCTGAAGATCCTGCCCATGATTTGACACAGAGCTGCAAACCCTTACAATGACTTCCTTCATTCAATTAATAGTCATTAATTTACTAAAGCACTGTCTAGCACCTCAAGAAAATACAGCTAATCCCCATCTTACCTCAGGACTGTACCATCTGGGTGCTGGCTATAGATAAAGAGCCAGTGGTAGGCGATCCCATCTAGAGAGAAGTGGAGGGAAATGGGCATGGATTGATAACTTGGCTGCCAAAACTGGGAGCCTGCATTTCATGTTTATCTTATTCCACATCCAATGTGTCCTCCACGTTGGCCAACCAGGAAACCACCACTGATTGGTTGGGTGCCAGGTATGATAGAGAACAAAGGCAGAAGGGGAAAACAGGGAGGCGCACACATACTGCACAAGTCTCCCAGGGCTTCTGCATGTGAGGGTAAAGGTGAATTTGTGGAGGTGGAGAGGACAGACAAAAGTGATACGCCTGCTTGACGACCAGCTGTGTGAAAGGGGATTGGGGGGTGGGGGGGAAGGGGAGACTGAGCAAGAGTTGTGCTATTACTTTCAGGAGAACACACTCCTCTGGATAGTCAACAGTCCTGGATAGTCCCTCTCCTCACACCTATTCAGTGCAAACCATGTCATCCTCCACCAAGGCTGAGTTGTCAAATAAAACAAAACTTAAAAAGAAGCCAGCCACCTCAAAGAACTATATTCCCAAACACCCGTGTCTCCCCATATACTCCCTTCCAGTCTTCCCCAGCTGCTACCAGAGCTTAGTTGTGTCTTCTCCCTTTACGTAGGATGAGGCACTTCTCTGGAGGATGAACAGAGGAAGTCTTCCCCAGCTTGGTCCAGATCCCTCTCCCACCCAAAGGCTTATGAAACCACTGAAGATTCCAATACCTGAAATAATAGTAAATATATAGTTAGCCTACTTCAGTTTTGTCCCCAGTGCACAAACCAGAAATGTCTGAGTGTCAAGTGTGGTTTCTGAGAAAACCACATATAGCGGACTTAAATGATTCACGAGTTTTACTGATTTTCTAAGTTACTGTTCACCAACCAGCATGGAAATATTTCAACAATTAGCACTCACTATGATGACATCAGTGCGTAAAAGCTGAGTTACCAGTCCTGCTCATACAGAGTCTAACACTATTACAGAGCTCAAGAACAAGAGGGGCTAATCAGGTGTAGGAAAAAATACCCACTTGGTACAGCTAAGAGAAATAACTATACATAAAATTCAACATAAGGGAAGGAGAGGGAGCTGGTAATTTTCTATTCCTTAAGTTGAGTATATATTTATATTTATTATGGTTCATCACTTATTGTCCACAAGAAATGTTCCTAGGGTTGAAATTCTCGATTAACCCAATCAGTTTATTGCAAGCTCCCATTCTTTTTAAGCAATGCTATCACCATCTTACAAAACAAAGTTAAGATTTCTTGTCAAATACTGAAATCATGCTAAAATGAAGACCATTACATCTATAGTATTCTCCATTTGATCTAAATGTAAGAATAAGGCTATATTTGATGTGACTTAATAGGACCTAGATCAGTGGCTCATTATTTTCTCTTCTAAATATTGATAAAATTAGCTACCTTTTATATCATATAAATGATATAAAAGTAAATTCTCAGAATTTACGCTCCACAATTTACGTTTTCCCACTTTTGGCATCTCTTGTATTTTCTGTAGTTTCTGAGATTACTAACCGTGGCCATACTCAGGAATGTAGTAGATCCTAGCATGAGCTCAGTGAAAGAGATTTGGTATGATTTTAGCATATTTTCACCCAAACTAATACCTTCTTCACAAAGAAAAACTATCCTTTTCGACAAGTTTTTAGATCCTTTTGTTATTTTATTAAGTATGTTATCTTTCCCTAACAAGGAGGATTAGACTTCCCTGATCTTAGTTCAGATAGTTAAAGCCCTTTTCATTGTGTTGAGTTTTTTGTTGACACAGTTTTCCTGCTATTTTGTTTTGTGTGTGTGTCTACTTCCAAGCTTGGCATGGAGGTCTAAATGTTCATCTGAACAACTGTAACCCCTCATTGTTCAGGATCAGTCCTGAGTTTTAGTCTCTTTTCAGGTTTCTAAAAATTACTAGTCATAGTTTCATACTTGCCTTTTTAAAAGTAAATCTTTTGGAACAAAGAATTCCTAAAAAGATGTAATTCTGGCAAACGTTCTCCTTCTATGCTTTGAAATGCCGGACAGACACAGGTGCTCTGACCATCAGGAAGTAAAGGAACATAGAAGCAAAGGAAATGCTGGCTAGCATGGAGATTATCGGGCTACTGATAAGAGAGTAATTCTTATGGGTGATATAAAAGCAAAATCTGTACAACTAATGTAGAACAAGATTTAAAAAAATCAAATTATTAATCTCAATTTAAATTCACTATAAAGGTTTTTTTCCTTTAAAAACAGAGAAATGAAAATTAGTATACAATTTCCAAAATTGCTTTGCAAAAAAGGTTATCCAACACACATGCTTTCACTCATGAAACTACTCTGTCATCTACTTTGCATTATCTGAAATTGAACACATTCAAGAACAAAATCACCGTATCTCTTTAGTTCACACAGCAGTAAGAGATCACACACTATACACCTTAACTGACCATGAAAAGACTATTTTATTCCATGAAAATATTCTCAACAGAGAACACTATCTTAAACAAAGCATTTACCATTAAGAAATCAAATGTGCACAAAGAGTAAAAATTACTGAAAAATTAAAGATTTCTTTTGGACAATTCACATGTTCAAAATTTAAGAATGATTTAAACTGTGCAAGTACAAATGTCTTTCCTATTGTAATAACCCATATACAGGTTGCACTATTCCACATGAAGGAACTTGCCTCCTACGGAAGCAAATCCTGCTTTTAGAAAAACAAACAGTAGCTTGAAAAGAACAGTTAGTCCTTACAAGAAAGCCTTAAACTTTGCCCTCTGTGTCTGTGGCTGTTAGCCAAAAAAACAGAAGCACTTCAGGTTTTGTACAGAAGACAAACACAGCCAGATGACATTTCCTCCTCATTGCTAACCTTTAAAATAAAAATAGCACTAGATTTTAAAACTACTTTATGTAGTCTGTCAGTACTGAATAATGTCACATTATATAAATAACCCTGTAACGAGATTCAAAACCTAAACTTTACAGTTTACTAGCCTCAAAGGCAACACACTACATATCAGCTGTGTAACAGGGGCATACTCGATCTTATGAAGGCATTAACTTTCACACAATTGTCATTCAGCTTTAGTATAAATGGTAGCATGATTCAAATAACACTGGGAAAAATTTAGTCAAGCGGTCACACGGCAGCTAAAATATTGCTTAAAATCCAATAATACACAGACCACTTCACATTCTCTTTCTCCTCTCAAAACAGTAAAGAACCAAATTAGTGAAGATTCCATGGTACAAATTCCCCCCACCCCCCACCCATCTCTCCCTATTAAACACCACTAAGAAATTAGTTAAGATACAAGTCATTAACAGAATCACAAATGTGAGGCAGGACATGAGCAATAGGGGCACTAAGGACAATTATATTTACAAGTATAAACATACAGAAATTTCCATTTTACAAGTAAAAGTGCACGAAGATCATTACAAAGTTTCACTAAATTTTAACTGGTTCAAACAAAAGCATTACTTGGAAACAGACTACTATTGTAATAATCAAATGAGAACATGGTAACCCCAAATTAGAAGACAATGGCGGGGGTGGGGGGGAAGAGAGAGGGTCCATAAAATTTCCCATAAAAACACGAAGTAAAATGAACTCAGACATGTCTTTATAGTTTGATGCATAAATTTGAAGATGCACCATCATACATGGTAGAGCTCTAAAAGCCACCTACCGAGGCTACATCGGCAGCTGCAGCAGCACTGCCAAGTTAAAGGAGGTCGCACTGAGCTGACACATAAAGCCCTTTGTGGGATACTGTAGTGGTAGTGTTGGCAATCAACAGATTTAGGCACTCTAGTTTAAGGCAGCATTTGAATGGAAGCAGCTGACTTTTGACAACAGTCCTTTGTCTTGAGGTGGTGAGTATCTTCTGTGTTTATTATGCCAGGATTTCAGTGCTGACTATAGATTCTTCCCAGACTGAGGTGCTGAAGATGTATCACATTTCAAAGAGTTCTTTCAACTGGGCTGTAGACTAGAGCAGAGGTGTTTTCTTTTTCTTATCATAAATACTTCAAGTTCACAAACTACTTCTTCATAATGCCAAAACTGGAATGTTTTGTAGTGGGGAAGTTATAGCAGCATACATGAATACTAGGATGGAAACATTAGTGCTGAAAATGTTTGACAAAGTAATCTGCACTACAAATGTAAAACAAAACAAAGGCTTTGACAGGAACAAGGGATTATAAAGACATGCCTGAAAAATCTAGCCCAATCATTCTACACATGCAACAGGATGTTAAGCAAGCACAGAGGTGGCGCAGGCAGACACTGACAAATGGTAATGGTAAGGATTCTAACACACAATGGGTCTAAAAGCCAATTAAAACAGAGCTGAGATGGAGACAGTTCTGTTCAGACCATCAAATGTAAAACAAATTTAATGACAGCTCTGCATTCTTTCTGATTCGGACATCAGTAAATGGAAAAAGGGTTAGCCACTGTTGGCTTTTTTTCCTTCATGTGAATAAATGTGAATGAGAAAATTAAGGATTTGTATTATGATTTTTTTAAAACAATGTATGGAAATGCTAATGAAGTTAGTAAAAAAATAATCATGTCTGCATGCACTCATGCAACTTGCTTCTCTCACTCTGTTTGAGCCTGACAACTCTATACCCTCCCCCTAAAAGCAGCTGCATGTAACCTCCTTCAACATCTTGCCCATTTCCTCAGAAACCCTCTTCAGGAACCTGTAGTCCAGGAGGAAAAAGAAAAGAACAATTACTGAAGACCTTTGGTAACACCAAAAGTGGTGTTCAGTTTAAAGTGTCCATCCCAAGTCTCTAAAATCATTTTTTACTGTTAGTCATTGAAAATACCAGAAAAACTTGGAACAACAGCAAAATTAGAGGCCAGTCTCTTAATTGCTTTCTCACTTTCCCATACAACTGGCACTGCACAATTATTGATTGTATATATTTCCAACAAATGCTCATTAAAATTAACTGGAAAGAATGCTTTCCTGATAATTGGTTATTCAGTAAAAATGAGGACGTACCCTAAGTGGTAGTAGATATATGTTCCTCCTGCCCAGTCAATCACAGAAGTCGATTTTTTTTCTGCTCAAAGTAAAATCTGCCAGTACTTTTCCTACATTCTAGATTTCTCTTAGTTTATTTAGAATCTACTTCCTATGTACAAATGCTAAATAGCGGCTGAAGTATTATTTCCCAAAAGATTTTCAAGATAAAAACAAAGGCATTAATTTGGAAAGAAGCTTATATGCTATTGAAAATCACTATCCTAAAAATACTTTCTGGTCTCATAAAAAAGGTGCCTTACTCACATAAAAACTAGACTAGGTTGATTTTGCAGAACTCTTGACTAATCTACCACTTATACAGATTATTTATGTACTAGGCACTTGTCTTCTTCCTTTAAGAAACCAAAGTTAAGTATAGGGAGGAAGATGAAACGATTATTTTCTTATTTTTTCCAATTAGCCAACTATTACTTTCCTTCCTGGAAATTGCAGCTACTACTAAAACTCCTACACCAAACTGCTCTTTGGGGAGCCAGCTTCCTACAGCATTTCAGAGCAGTTTTACTTATTTGAATTCACTATAATCACTATTTTTTGAAGCAAAATGGTTGTGGTGGGGGATGCAGCAAGAGGCAGGGAATTTATCTATGGATTTCTGCCCAATAGATCAAATTCTATGACTTATAAGGCAGAAAAACACAAATTTGTCACACAGACTTAAGCAAGGACATAGAGCAAAAGGCATCAATTAAGCTTCACACCAACATCACTCAAAATGGTAAAGCATCAAGACAACAGTTTCTTGTGGTACTACTCACATCTCTAAGATCAAGCCTACACTCAGCTCACATAGTGAACAATAAATCTTGGGTGCTCTTTAAGTTTTCTTATGTTTCTCTACCCGTTGAATGTGTTTTAATTGTAAGTTATCATTCCTATTTCATACAAGTCACAAAGTTGCCTGGTTAGTTTAGATGTAAGTTACTGCACCTTTACTGTTTTTCTCTAGAGTTACATCTATGTATGACGTGGGAACGTAGCCTTCTTCACCATTCTGTCTCCGAGCTCTTGTCCACCCATCACCTTTGTCCTCCTCAATAATGTATAGAACTTCACCTTCCTTCATTGCCAGAGTGCCTTCATTATGTCCTAGATGAGAGTTTTCATAGCATAAGAATAATTTAAGCTTATCAGTAATTTCAAATAAAAGTTACAAATACAACACACAAAATAACATGCAAGCCTATTAGATTTCCATGTACCTAAGAACTATGAGCTCACGGACTCTTTATGTTGCTTTGTGGTTTACCCAGCTCTTTCATATACATTATCTTATTTGAGCTGGACAATAACCTGGTGAGGCTGGCCTCAATATCACCTTCATGTAACAGATGAAGGATCTGAGCCACAATGACATTATATGATTTGACAGGGTACTCCCATTTCATTATTCTAGCTCTTTTTCTAAATTTAAGTGGTGATGCTATCTAAAAAATTTATGGATCAGGAAAACAGTAACTGTGCAAGGGTGGGAAGAAAGAAAATAGCTTAAAGAGAGAACAGCAAGAAAAATACAAATTCAACTCTGGCAGAAGGAGAATGGTCACAGCCACAAAGCATAAACTTCCTTCAAAATCTGAGGGCTCCCTTACCTCCCCATCCCCAAAATTGTTAGCAGTAACAATTTTCACAAATGCATCTTCATTTAGCATATGTTAAATTCCTCCCTAACTCTCCAGATTCCATTATACCAAGATCCTATTTAATGGATTTTTTCAGAATGAGGAATAAATAAAAACTTAAATTTTAAAGCAAAAACAAGAGGATCTTATCATTTACCATTTTACTAGAACTCACTGGTGACATTATTACATTATTATTCTGCTTCTCTGTGAGTTGAGGAAAAGGATTTTTCACAGTCTGAGAGAAGGCTGACTAAAAATGTATAGGAGGGTCACAATAATACCTTCCTCTGCTCACAAGGCTGTTTAACTATCACAGGGAAAAAGATAGCATAGTCACAAGCTACCACTTTTTCCTACCACCTGAAAATGTGGCCTAGAGAATCAGGATATGGTGGTGGCATTTAGCTATGCCATTTGCCCATATCTATCTCTCAATGTTAGCAAGCTGCAAGGAAGAACATGAGGTGACATCTACTAGTCTCTGACTTCCTGGGTTGGAATACATGCTTAAGTTGATTCAACTATATTAAGTACATACATATAAAATGAGTAGTATCTCTAGGGGAGTCCTGTATTATGCAAAGTTGATAATTAAATAGTAAACTATATTAAGATGCTACAATTTTTTTTAACATTCATATATGGAAGAAAAGCTATTTATGCTAATGAGCTAGGATTATAAATTTCTGCCTATATTATTTATCTGAGAACACTAAAATGTTATGACTCAATATATGTAGAATTTTAGGTATCAATATTATCAAAATATATTAAGAAAACCATACCATCAAAAGGGTATATAGCCTTGCAGTGTCCAATAGCAGGCAAAGGATCATCATCTTCAAATTCATCATCAAACTCATTGTGGTGACTATGCTGTTGAGGTGGCCCACGGACCTCTTGGTTTGCATCATCAGTGTAACTTCCCTCAGGGCTGTAAAACAAAATTATCTCTAATCAAGTACCACAAACACAGCAACCTTTTATATTATCTATAAGCTGATCTCATCAGAATTAATTTAGCAAATCAACTATTGACACAATTCCAAATTTAGCCATTATGTTCTTGAACTGTGTGTGTGTGTGTGTGTGTTTTAAAGATTTATTCATTTATACAAGAACCAGGGTACAGGCCAGATGCGTGGGAGGGTGAGAGGATTCACCAGAGACAGAGCAGGGAACAGAACAGGCAGACTGATGAAATACACTGCTGAGGGGAGCAGCGGGTGAGATAGGAGAGGTCTGCCACGCCATGTGGGATGGAACCGGCGCTGCAGAGACTGAGCTATGATAGCTTCACAGTGCGGCGCTCAACTGCCTGTGCCACCACGGGGGGCCCTGTCTGTGTATATATTTTTATTTCTAAAATAAATGTATTTCTGTTGAATTTCCTGAAATTAAAAAATCAGAAGATTACAATATTCTAAGCACATAGCATGTATTCAATAAATGTCTATCACTAGATCCAAAGATAAAATGGAAAAATGTGGTAGGCAGTGCTTGTCTTTCATAATCCAGATTCATCATTCCTTCTTTTGGCAGAAGAACCCTACAATCCCTTAAGGGGTGGAACTACCCAGGTCCATGTCCAGTTCACAAGCTTCATGTGGAATTGCTTAGTCCTGTTTCTATAGGGCCCATGGTAGCAAAACACTCACATGGCCAGAATTTATGAGTAGACCTATAACCCAATTAGACACAAGAAATGCCAAAAACTTTAGCTTGGGACTATTGGAAGACAAGCTCTCTGCCTTTTCCACTGGACTTGATCCTGGAGGAATATTAGCCTGGACCTTTGGGACATCACCATATGGAGTCTTTAAATGAAGCTAAAACAGTAGAAAGCAGAACTGTGAGAGGGAGAGAAACTGAAGCCTGGGGATATAACCTGAGCTCCTAGAGATCAAGCACTCCCTGAAGTCAACTGATGAAATCCTGATTTTGTTTATGCCAGCACAGAAGTAGTATTCAGTCAGTCACTAAAAATTAAAGTTAATTTCCAACTAATCTTGTTATCAGGGAAGTTAGTAACAGAAAACCAAAAAGAGCAGGTAATCCAAAGTTTTTAATTTTTTTTTAAATCAGACAGAAATATTTTAATTTTGCTAAGGAATCAAACAATCGAATAAGATTTAATAAGGGAAAAATCTACATGATTAGATTTAGCAGCACTTTCAGTATGCCTAAAAGCCATGTTCTTAAATAATACAAACCAGAAAGACTACATTATTCTAACATAGGTTATTACTTAATAACAAAAAGCAGGTACTGGCAAAACTCAGTTCTCCTGCCTGCCTGTGACTATACAGATAACCTGTCCTTTTAAAAAGTAAAAAACAAAAAAACAGTGTACTTGTAAGTATCTCCATATAGTGAACGTATGTACTCTTTCAAGCAGTGATAAAAGAAAGGAAGAGAAGGAAGAGCTAACATTTGTCAAGCAAGTACTATTACCAAGTATTTTAATACTAGATGCTTTATAATATATGAAAAATCCTATGAGTATTTTAATCTCTATATTTTAGGAAACTGAAAAGCATTAAAAATGAACTTCTGCAAATTACACGTAATTTATTAGTAGCCAAGACTTTAATACTAGAGCTTTCAAATACTCTTCTCTAACATGAATCCTAATTTGTTAGATTATGGGAAAAAAAACATTATATGAGAGAGAAAATGCCACAAATAGTATGAAAACAGCAAAATGGCTTTTGGAAGCTGTGGTTCAAACTAAACACACATTATTTTTCTTCACCAAATTTTGAACGATGTGACAATTAAATATTTCTTCAGCATAAGCTACCAAGCTCCATCTAAACCTTCCCAGATCTGAGGAAACTATCCTCCCAAACTGTAACTCTTAATAATTTTCTGTTTTCAGATGCATAATATAATACAACTGAGTAACAATATGAAATCTCACACTTCACCTGTAGCGATTATAAAGAAATAGAAGAAAAGACAAACTTGTTAAAGAAAGAAGAACTGTATGAAGCTATAGACAACAGTGGAAGAAAATCTGGGTAAAAGACAATATACAAATAAAATGCAATATACAAATAAATGCAATATACAAATAAAATGACCTTTCTCGTCCTTGTGTTACAAGATGATTTATGTCACTGCTATGTCTTCTGTCTCCTCTCCCACCCGTTTTGCCTTCAACTTCAGAGAGCCAAGCCTTGGGGAAAAAATAAGTAAAACTGAACTAAGCAAGTATTTTTGAAAGACCATGAGATGTTCTACATTTAAAACGTGCTTTAAGATTTTATGATTATGTAATTCTCAGCAAAACCTTTATTCCAATTTGGCTAGTGATCAACTTTGCAGCTGATAGTATAAATGTAGTTTTAAACAAAAAAAAGCCAACATACTAATTCTAAAGATTATGTATACGATGATATCTTACTTTTAAATCATAAATCGTAAAATTAAATTTTTCAAGGTAATCCCAAGAAAAACTAATCATAATAGTTTATAAAAATGGATTATCTTAGATAACTGCTAAAGCACAAATCTACCTCATTCTTGTGGATTTCCATTCTCAGGCGGTCAATGTTATTCATAGTCTCTGCTAATTTAGGCTGCAAACTCCCTGGGTCCCCCATTTGTGGATTTTTCTCATACACATCTTTCATTTTGTTTAGTGCTTCTCTGAAAATAAGAAAATCGTAGAATTAGATATTCATTTCCTAAGTTACTAGGTAAGAGCTTCATCTGATTTTAGCATGCAGCCTAATCTTAGAGTTGTATCTCTTCTAAGTTTGGTCAAACATTACATGATTAAAGATCACCTGTATAAAGTTGGTAATGTGGCCTCCCTGGTGGCGCAAAGGGTTGAGCACTGTACTATGAGGCAGTCCGCAGCCTCTGCAACATGAGTTCGATCCCCGGCCAGCCTGGGAGCAACCCACATGGTGCAGCAGACCTCTCCTGTCTCGCCTGCTGCTCCCATCAGCAGTGTATTTCAGTTAGTCTGCCTGTTCTGTTCCCCACTCTGTCTCAGGTGAATCCTCTCACCCCCCACATCTCTAGCCTGTGCCTCAGCTCTTATATGCATAAATAAATAAATCTTCTAAAAAAAAAGTTGGGGGCCTCCCCTGGTGGCACAGGCAGTTGAGCGCCGCGCAGTGAAGCTGTCCGCAGCCTCTGTAGCACGGGTTTGATCCCGGCCGGCCAGTGAAGGTCCCACATGGCGAGGGGACCTCTCCTGTCTCGCCCTCAGCAGTGTATTTCGTCACTCTGCATGTTCTGTTCCCTGCTCTGTCTCTGGTGAATCCTTTCACCCTCCCACGCCCCTGGCCTGTACCCCGGTTCTTGTATAAATAAATAAATCTTTAAAAAAATAAATAAAACTAAGGGCCTCCCCAGTGGCGCAGCGGTTGAGCGCTGGGTTGTGAAGCTGCCCGCAGCCTCTGCAGCGCCAGTTCGATCCCCGGCTGCTCCCCGGCCACCGGCGGAGGGTCCCACATGGCACGCAGACCTCTCCTGCTGCCTGCTGCTCCCCTCAGCAGTGTACTTCGGTCCTTCTGCCTGCTCTGCTCCCCGCTCTGGTCTGGTGAATTCTCTCACTCTCTCGCGCTTCTGACTGTACCCAGTGCTTGTATAAATAAATAAATAAATAAATAAATAAATAAATAAACCTTAAAAAAAAATTGGTAATGTAGAGTTGGTAATGTATGGGGAGTCTTTTTAAAACATTTGGAATATTAAAAAATATGTAATTCTCATTTCTTGATTCCTAAGTGAGACTATATATACACATCTTTTAATCAAAGGCTAGAAGAATACTTCTCAATAGTCTTAAATTTATCATGTCCCAAATCAAATTCATCCTATGCCCACCAGCACATTATTCCAGTGTTCCTTATCTTAGTTCACAGCATCATCCTCCTCCCACTCATCATGCTAGAAATAGGAATGCCATCTTTCACCTGCCCTTCTCCCTCAAAATCCATTCATCTCCTCTTCACTTCTCTAATCACATTACAGTAAGTTATGCCTCAGCTCTCCTTCCCTCTCTTACATCTGACATTATCAACTAGCACGCCTTAAATCTCCTTTCCTTCTTTATCTCCTAGAGAGTACATTTTGTTTTCCCTTCTCATCTCTACTGTTTTATAACTCCTTCACTGGTTCCTCTGTGTGTGGGGGCACATAAAATGATGAATGTTTCTTCTCATCTCATCCTACATTCCTCCTTTATGAGGATGAACTCATTTCCTCCTCTCTCCAGTTTTGAGATACAATTGACATTATTTTAACATCACCTATATTCACATAATTCTCAAAAATATATCTCCAGTCCTCTTTAAGTTCTAGATCTAATTTCCAAAACCAACTGGCTACTTCCATGTGGATTTTTCACATATTTAAAAAAATCAACATAAATACAATTATTAATTTTTCTCTGTTTCAATTAAGTCTATCATTCTTTTGAACTAGAAGACCGATATTTTTTCAATGCCTTCATTTTTCTCCTCTCAGACATCCAACCAGGTATAAATGCTGACCTATTTAGTCATTGAAATGATTTTTAAATCTAGTCTTCCTTTCTATTCTCAAGTCTTAATGCAGGCCCTCTGCATCCCTTACCTGGATATTATAAAGGCCCCTACCTAAATGATCTCCCTGACTCAATGTATTTCCTATATAATCCATTCTTTTTTTAAAAAAATATTTATTTATACATACAAGCACTGGGTACAGTCAGAAGTGTGGGAGGGTAAGAGAATTCACCAGAGCCAGAGTGGGGAACAGAACAGGCAGACCGACGCAATACACTGCTGAGGGGAGCAGCAGGCGTGGCAGGAGAGGTCTATACTCCATGTGGGACCAGACAGCAACCAGAGCTCAAGAAGGCTGTGAGATGCCTTACAGAAAATACATGTGTTAGATAAGTTTTGTTCACACATGAGTTATTGTGTTACTGCCCCTGAGTTCAAGTTAATAATTCAACTATATTAAATAATGTGCCTTTATGTGTTTCTACACACATAAAACAAAATTATATACTGATTGATGAAAATGTTGTGACCAGAGGCTAAACTGGAACCCAAACCTATATTTACCATTTCAATATATGCTAATTCAGTGTTCACAGTGAATTTACAAGCTACAATTACCAAAAATAGTAAGAATCAACTGTATGCAATATTTCATTTATGATTAAGCACCCCATCTCATTTGATGCACAAGTCTTACTATCAAAACTTTCAACACATGTGCCAGAGTTTTAAGTTCCAATTTTACCTTCAGTTTAAAAGTAGACAGCAAGTCATCAAACCATTGTAATAACTATTCATCACAACTCTCTATGTCCACTAAAACAAAGCTGAAGCAGGGCCTCCCTGGTGGCGCAAGGGGTTAAGCACTGCACTATGAAGCAATCCGCAGCCTCTGCAACACGAATTCGATTCTTGTCTGGCCAGAGAGAAACCCACATGGCAAAGCAGACCTTTCCTGTCTCGCCCGCTGCTCCCCTCAGCAGTGTATTTCAGTCAGTCTGCCTGTGTTCTGTTCCCCACTCTGTCTCTAGTGAATCCTCTCACCCCTGCATCTCTGGCCTGTACCCCAGCTCTTGTATGCATAAATAAATCAATCTTTTAAAAAAAGCTGAAGTAAAGGAAACCTTTTGTAAAATTGAAAAAAAAAAAAAACTAAAACTGAGTGAATGAATCTGAAGTCTTAAGTTATCAAGCACTGCTTGCCAATATATTTTGCTGCTAACAAAATGAGTACAGCCATAGATTTCTATTGTACTTCATTTATACACCAAAGTAAAATGAAAATTCATCATAGTATACGAGATGGTTAGTGCTGGTGAAACTACTCTTGATAAATCATCAAACTATTTTGCAAATTCATGGAAGGCATAAAAATATACTTTTAGCATCCAATAAGTAATCTGCAACCTAAAAAACTCTAATGACACCACAACCGTAAAAATTTCCAAGTTCAGTTGTATATTTTTCCCCTCAAAAGATGTTTCAATTAGGATATATGATTTTTAAACCTTTTATACAAAATATTTAAATAACATCATTCAAAGCAGACCCTAATTGGAATAAAAATAGTGGAGAGGACTTAATGTAAAAATACTTTTGGTCTGATTCTTTTTGTAGTTCTCTGTTAAGTTCATCAATGCGTTGCTGTAGCTTTTTACGTCTCTGTTCTGGTGGCAGATGACTGAAATCCTCCAGTGCTGGGCCCTGAAAAGAGAATCTAAATCATTAAAAAAATCACTTTCTGGAAAGTTCAGTTTTTTTAAATACACCCATTACAAAAGAAGTATATCAAATTTAAGTTTAATTTAAAATTAGCCCCAAACAAGCCCTTAAAAAAAAAAAAACTACATAGATATTTATCTATATGTTAATTAAAATGAATGTATAGAAGAGCTCAAATTCCAGTTAGGTTATAAAATCACGAAACAGAATAGGTAAAAATATCAGCAAATACAGATAATTGGCGATGACCAGTATCAACATTATGTTCAGGTGTTGGCAGAGTTTTAAAAATACACACAAATCTTCTTACGGCAACAACAACAAAATGGAAACACATAACATTTCTCATCTATACAAATTACTATTTTATATATAACATATTACCACATCAAACCCATTACCATGAGATTATAAATGTTCAGACTCAAAATATGAGTTTATATATAATTAAGTAAGCAACTTACCTCAGAAAGACAAGATAATTAATGAAATGTATTCTAATAGTGCATAAAAGTCTCTGAATGTTTATGTTTATTAGAACATTCCATGTTTTGGAAAACCAAAACATACCTGGTCATTAAAAAACAAAAAGTAGAACTATCCACTGAGTGAAATCTAAGTAGAAATTATATTCCAATAAGGGGTCTATTGTAAATTATCCTTTTGTACAATCAAATACACCTCAGTTGTTCCTGAAAGAAAGATATAATCCAAACAAAGATATAATCTTTCTTTAATAAGGATGCTTGATATTTGAAAAATTTTTAATGCTTTAATATTCAAGAAACTATCACTTAAAAAAAAAATGTAAGTCTGAGTTAAATGATTTTCTCCTCTTAAATGTGAAATCACATCACATGACTTATATTATTAGAGATTATACAACAGAACGAATATTAGCAACTACTGATTCCATTTAAAATAAACCCATATTTACAATAAGTAACCCATATTAACATGTTTTTATATACCCCCCAAAACTGATGACACCTATCATTCTTCAATTTTCTTTTTAAAATGGTGATTTTAAGAACATGCAAGTCTGATTTTAACTCATTTGCTAAAATGTTTTAACATAGAATATTATGCTTGTAACACAGGTTAAATATTTTGACTTCACCATCAATAAGAATGATTCCCCACTTTTTAAAAAATGAGAAAAAACTTTCAGGATGCTATGATAAAATATCACATTCAATTAATAACAACATCTAGAATAAATCCCAAAAGGCCTGCATATAAGGGACATTAAACAAGCCTGGCTTTAAAAAAAAGCAGGGTATCTTTCAAAAGTGACCTTTGTTTTTTAATCTACCAATCACCAGAATTAAGAATCTGTCGATAAAACAAATCTAACCTAAAATAAACGCATGGCAAAATTTCCTATTAAACTTAGTGGTCAATAACAACTGTCAAATTCAATCTAATTTGTGGTACAAGTTTTAAAACCTATTATATATGTGCCAAAGATAAAACTTCCTAATTCATATTTTTTAAAATACTTCCTAAAATTTTGAAAAACTTGGTGAAGTACAGAAATGCATTTCAATGTGGTTTTTTGATGGTATTATAATAAACTTACAATCACCTATCAGTAAATCTGCCAGATATTCACTTGTCCTTAATCAATCCTTTTTCTTAAATCTATTAACAATAGGTACCTAGGCCCTTACATTTCTAATGTATCATTTGGGCATATAACCCATTCTTTTATAGAGAACTAAATTCAGTATTTCCATGGAGGTAAAGAAAACATCTAAGGAATTTCACAACCTCTTCTACTACAAAGGGAGTTTATAAAAGACCAAACTGCAGAAATATTCTATTCTCCAAAAATGAGAAGCTATATACAAGCACACCATAATTTTTGGGTTAGGTCTTCACAATGTAGTTCCATTAAATTATTTGAAATAAATGTATAAAGGAACACACACCACACACACACGCGCACACACACAATATTAAGGTGACGTATTTGTGCTTTCACTTCTGTTCAACAGCACAAAAGAAAGCACTGACTCAATAATGAAGTTTGTAGGGATATTTTCTTTCTTGGGGATATTTAATGATTCTTGTGATAAACTACAAGTCAAATTTATCTCATCTTTTTGAAGAGTGTTAAGAAAACTTACTTTTGTTCAATTTTTCTTCTATAAAAACATGGGCTTTTGTTATACCATGTAACTTTTAAAAATAATTTTAACTACAGTTTTATTTTCTGTAATAACGACAAGGACTCTACCAAATAACATTTAAGAACTTAGTAAGCTGATTACAGTTAGCCACATTATTTTCAAATTTTATGACATCAAGAGGTACTGGTTTATGTTGGACTATGGATTAAATTATAAAAAGAAATGACACATACAGGTGAAAATGTGGAGATGTACCTTACTATTTGTATTGAAATAAACAAAACAATGTTTTGAGATTACTTAATGTTGGCACAGTATATATAGATCAGCACATAAGGCTTACCATCTTCACCGACCACTGAATTGTTCAATGGAAAACAGAAAGAAATGGTAAATTATTCACATGAAACCATAATATAGAAGATGCAATAACCTCTATACCTTTTTACAATTTTAAAATCATGTACATTTCACAATCCAAACAATTATGCCAGAAAAACAATTTTAAGCACATTTTTGAAAAAGTAAATAACTTGCAAAAAAAACACTGATGATAATGGGCAGATATTTTCTACATGCAACTAAAGAGCAAAAGTAAATAGCAATCATTCTATTAGTAATTATGTTTTTCTTTCACACAAGGGGATTTTTATATAAGTGGATTGCACTTATATAGTTCTTCATTCTCAAAACACTAATATTTCAAAAGTTGAATATGAAAGATCTAATATCAGCCATTTTTAAAGAAATCTTATTTTTAAAAATGCAACACTCTTTCCAATACATTAAACAAAACATCATTACTTGAATATTACAATTCAAAAAACTGTTTTGGATGTAAATAAATCATGTGTGGGTGAAGATAAATTTCCACTTTAGGTTTAAGGTGCTTTTAAAAAATTAGACACATTAAAAACACTTTATAATCAAAATAAGTAAATGAATCATGAGAGTCAAGTTAGCCAAACATTTTTTTCTAATAGACAACATATATATGGATTGAATTTTGCTCTGAAGACACAGTTTCTGTTTTTTTAGTTTTTATTCTAAAATTCATGTGTTCTAAAAGCAAGACCAAAAATACCTCAATTTTTAGAAAATTGGTTAAAATTTATTCTTTCTGAAAATATGAAAAGGCCAGAGTGTTCTCATACAGGTTACATCCTGTTTACATATATATACATATACATATGTGTGTGTATACATATATATATATGGAATTCTGTAACTGGCCTTGCATCTATCCAGCATCCCAACTGAACACACATGCACTCACACTCATGCACACACATCCTGTGACCCAGAATACAGAGTAGAGTTTTTACAATGTGTATCTTCATCACACTCAATTACATTTGGTTAGCTGCCTCAAATTTTTATTTTCCTTGTTTTCTAAATCATGATGTTTTAGACACGGGGGATTATCAGATTGAATTTTACATAACAAATATGGATTTTATAAATAGCTAACAAAAAATATCTACCCCTTATCTCTGATGAATTAGCCATATATAATAATGGTTATGATAAGATGACATTTGCTATTCATTATCTTTCCAAATATGCTTAACATTCTTTAGACTGTCAGTAGTTTCAAAGAATAAAAACCACAACTTACTTTGCTATGACAAAAGTCATTGTGAGGAGGTGAAAAAGGATAAATTTTTAAAAGACATTTGTGGTCTCTTTAAATGTTACTAAAACAAAATTATATATAGGGCAAGAAACAAAATGTAAAGTATTTCAATTTGATTTATCTTTTATGATAGTTTTCACCAGCTAAAGTTCTAAGTAACGCAAATTATTTTTCCAGTTTCTAACATGTTTTAGAGAAAATATTAAGGTAATTACAACTGAAGTACCAAATGTTTCACTTTTTTGGCCAACCTAGTTTCACTATTAATAGGAAGATAAATTTATAGTTCATTATCCTTTTAATTTGGAGGTACAAAAAACCTCATTTCTTTTTAAAAAAAATTATATATATTTTTTGTTATTCATGTTCAATACAAAACTTACCCTCATATATTATCATCATATACCTGTAACTAGTGAATTTCATATACCCACTACACTTTAATAAATACACAACGAAGCTAAAAACGAAATCAGTTAGACATTTGAAATTAGATGTACTTCATTTAAAATTAGAAAAATCCTGAGAACTGTACTCTATAGATAAAAGCTTACAAAAATGACTCTAGAAGTCTATAAGCCCATGAATAATTTAGACAGAAAACATGGTCTTGTTATTGCTAGATAAATCTTTTAAAAAACAAAACGAGGACACCCCTAGTAAGTTCAAACAAAGTAATTATAGAGTAAAAATTACTGCTTTGTATATTAAGTAGTTGTGTTTTGGTATGCACCAAATATTTATTAATGGTTAGATCTTGACATCACAGAAGGAAATTTCTCATCCCTTAGAAAATGTCCAGTACCACTTAGAAAAGGTCTGGTATTTGACTGGTACCACTGTCAAATACAAAAACATTGGTCTGATAAAACATTTCTCATATCCTCAAAGACTGGGAAAAAGTATTCTCTAGGTTTGCTTTAAAAAAATTTTTTTAGAAATGCCAAAAGACAGATATTTTACAGAAAATTATGTAAAGCAACTATAGTTTAAAACAACTTTCTGATTTAAATGGTACAACTGATCAATTTTAAGAAATCTTAGTACTTAATTTTACATATAAATCTAAAAACAAACTGATTTATTATACCATCTCATTTTTGGGTTTTTCTACATTGAAAAAAATTCTTAAGTGGAAGGAAAACATTTCAGTGGGTCAATTTTGAAATAGTGTCTAGTAAACTATCAAATATCAACTGAAACAGAAAGAATGTTCTCAATACCAAGATTATAATAAACTTTCCTTTTCTTGTTCTATCCCCCAGTCCTCTAATTTGTTTGTATTTCCTATCTTGCATATTGCTGCCTTCTCTCGCATTATAATAAGAAAAATAAGAGAATTCTGGCTTCCAGACCTAGATCCTCTAAAAAACAATGTATTGGTTATTTTAAAACTAAAACAATATGGAAATAAGACAAATAATAACCAAGCAGATAATTTTAAGTTCTATAGTTATAAATTCTACCTACACATTTATTCAGTAATAATGATGTCACATATTTACACTTTCTTCTCCAGCGCTCACAGTTCAAACTGCCGAAACACTGCTTCACAGAATTATATTTATTTCATATTTCTATGACTATACTGTGTTGAGTATTCTAACTAGGCCTGGTAGACCCAATGTGTGGGATACATAAACAATTACAAAAATTGTGATTTCTCATGATTTATGCAACATAATATTTAATGTATTTTAAATCCTAGAGAGATATAAATTAATTCTACCCTCCTAACTTAAGCAACAGAAATCCCAAATGTGATTTCTTACAGGCTTTTGAAAGAGATCACAGGTTCCTGTAATGCATACAGGTATAATACAGACTCATTCACAGAAACTTTTCTAAATGTCATTAACTATCCATAATATCATCTACATGATTAGGTAAGATAGATAGCAAAGTTGTTCTTTTCATTATTGGCAAAAATGAAGTACAAAAAAGGACATAATAAACTAGAACATCTCTGCTGCATTACTGACATCTTCTAAGTTTGTTTTCATGGAAATGTAGGTAATATAAATTTGCCATTAAAAAAAGAATGAAAATAGAAAGCTACAAAAAAATTAAAAAGACAGACTAGACAGAAGAACAGAGAGAGAGAGAGAGAGAGAGAGAGAGAGAGGGAGAGAGAGAGGGAGAGAAGGAGAGAGGGAGAGAGAGAGAAAGATGGTGGTGTAGGGAAAAGGGAAAAGAAAAAGAGCAAGCAAGCCTAACAACAGGGTCTTACAGTAATTATTACGCTTATAACCAACAGATTCTGAGTTCTCATCTGTGGGTTATCATACCTGTTTTTTTTATACACCCAAACAAATGTTGGAATAAATATCTCATAAATGAATCTAAGTGATAAGCTATGAATGTGACAAAAATTTAAAATCAAACATAAAGAGGGCTTCCCTGGGGGCACAAGGGGTTAAGTCGCAGCACTATGAAACTATCAACGGCCACTGCAGCAGGAGTTTGATCCCCGGCCAGGGAGCTGACCTACGTGGTGCAGCAGACCTCTCCTGTCTTGCCCCCTGTTCCCCTCAGCAGTGTATTTCAGTCAGTCTGTCTGTCCTGTTAGCCACTGTCTCTGGTGAATCCTCTCATTCCCTTGCACCTATGGCCTACGCCACAGCTCTTGTATGCATAAATAAAAATAAATCTAAAAAAACCAAACATGAAGAGAAATTAGCCTAACATAATTGAATATTTGTCAGTAGTAATAACAATCGTTAGAAACAGGTTAACATTTGGTTTTTACTAGTCTACAATTTTTCATTTAGTTATAAGTAAATGCCAATTGTTGACCAATTTCTTTGAAAAGGGAAAAATTCTAGTAAAAAATACACTTTTTTGTTCAAGAATACAAATTCTTGAACAAAAGAATTTGTTATTTCCAAAAAAAGTACAAATATTACTCAATAGCGTCTAGTATCTTTTTCTTCTTTACGATTTACAAAATATCATTCTTTACTTTGAGCTACAATCTTGATATTTAACATTCCTATCTTTTTTTATTAATTACTGGATATTGTGTCTTATGCTTTTAAAAGTAGGGCAATTAAGGTGAACATGATTTTTTTCTCACTAGAATACTTTATAAATTGGCAGAAGTCATTAGTGACAAATTATTACATGAGTAACTCCAGACAAATTACTGAAAGTCTTAAAAATGTAAATACATTACAAGACAATGGTGAACATATGATTTCACATAAACAAAAAAAAATAGCTAATATGCTTGTACCCAGCACCCTCTTTATAATACCATTCTTTTATGGTTGAGTATTTCAAATATTCTATAGAGGAGTTATTTTTAACTTGTGGGCAGCTATTCTTAATTCTGTGGTGTTTTTTAAACTACATATTTATAGGAGAGAGCCTTATAATGAGGGTGGAGAGTATTAAAAGCCACACTACACACACAATAGGCCATCATGCATTTTAACCCATTATTAAACTTACCCCTCTTTTGAGGCTTCTGAAAGAAGGAATTCTGGGCTTCCCTGTTTTTATTTCATTCATACAATAATGCACGGGCTCAATGGAGAATGTGAGAAACTGGGACCCATTAGGAGTACTGGATGTGAATAAACTAGTAGGGGTTAAGGGTGGGGACTGTGGCTAATACAGAAATAAAGAAAGGAATCAATAAGCCAAATGTGCATAGTTTTTTCCTAAATGAAAATTCTATTTTTGGCAACATACTTTTCACAAAATATATGTCAAAGTTTTCAATAAAAATATTAAAAAGTTAACATAACTTTGCCAAAACTGTCGTGTTAAGTGAAATTTACCTTTAAATATGTACCATTTCATTTGATTTTTCTACAAACTGACAGATTAAAAACATACAGAGCACACAAATTATTTTAGAGAGCAATATGACCTAGAAAAAATTCTGATTTCTGGAATATTAATACCATCTAGTTAGTTATCCTCAACCTCTACTTGTCAGAGATAAAGGCAGTAGCTACAAAGATATCTAAACAGGCAATAGCTATTAAAATAAAACAGTAAGAATATAACTGATTATTCATAAATAGGCAGAAAAATTCATTATATATGTGGCTTTCCTCAGACTATTTCTACAGTCATCCTTATTGCATCTCATTTTGGGGTAAATTTCTGTATTCCTTTTTTTTTCTAAATTCTCTTAGCTACTCTGATCTGACTTTAAAAAAGTATCACCTCTCACATGAACAGTATTAATAAAAAGCCTGAATTACGCCTGAGTTAATTATAATCATGCTTTTAAAGATATTTATAGGTACATTTAATTAGAGTAAAATTTTATCTATATTCTTAAGTCAAGATCAGATAAATGAATTAAAACCACATACTTCAATAAATACAGCATAGATTAAAAGCATATATCCATTCTCCTACCAATGTCACTATCATAATTACTAAACTGAAAGACTAGCAGTTATCTATTCCATTTGCTCATTTGCTGACTAGATTTATCCAAAATAAACAGCACATCAAAAGATAAATTTCAACAAGAGTAAGACTGTCTTAATAAACTAGAGGCTTTCATAAACTTCAAATTACCACAAACACTGAGCCTTTCCCATAAAATATCCAATGGTTGACAAAAATAATTTTATTAATGATCAGACCTAATCTGACATTTACTAGTGATATGGTCATTCATTCCATAGAGAATTGCAGTTTTAGTGGTTTTATAAATAGGATTAGGTTTCCCTAAAAATTTGGATTAAAACTACATACAGATGAAATCTAAAAAACCTGTAATAGATATTAACAACTTATTTAATATTTCTATTCATTAGTAAGTGGTGGTCTACTGTTCAATCCAGAAATAATTTTTACTCTTGAGGTATAAAATTGTCTAATTGTCTAAGTGAAAAGTTAATCAAATCACTCAAATCAAAATATTCTCCATTATTAGTAAACCATTACCCATTTAATTAATAATTATATTGATTTAAATAACAAACTATTAGCATACAGGCATTTTATGAGTTTTACCTTTGGTTTCTTTCCAAAGAGCCACAATTTGCCCTTGGCCTTTCCAACTGTGGTTTTGGCATCCACTTTCCCACTCTCCTGTTTGGACGCACTGATAGTTCCATCAGAAATGGTTCTGTAAATATGCTGACTGTAATCTTCAAATGGAAAGTCTCCTGGAGGTTCAAATCCAGATTTGAAGGAATCTACCACCATTTGAGAGTCCTGTACACAAGAAACATGCTGAAACCATTTAATTTGCTCATAATTCCAAATTAGTTTTCAAAAGAATTCTAATCATTAGAGGTTTAAAGGAAATAATGTATTCCTGTGAAATTATAACCCTGAAATATTTTAATCCCAACAGAAACATACTAATTTACAAACAAGTTTCCACTTTATTAATTTATGATACACATGAATATTTTCAGATAGTTTTAACTCACTGAAATTCATCCAAGGACTAGTTAACTGACAAGAACGAGCTAAATAACAAAAAGAAATATACAAAAAGGTTATTCTCAAGTAGAATTTCTAAGAAGTTTTAAAGAAAAAAAGGCCTATTTTACTTTTCTAAAGATGACGACCACCTTTGAAAGAGAGGAAAGGATATCTAATTTTAAAAGAGAAACACAGAAAGGCTTTCTTTCATCCAACAGGAGAAAATATAAATTAAACATACTAATGATATCCTCAGGATTGTCAACAGAGCAATGACAAAACATCTCACAAACAGTAGTGATTAAAAAAAGCAACTTTGAAAATATATAGAGTTCAGTATTACTCACCTAAAACTTAAAAATTTCAAGCTCACATTAAATATTATATATTGGTTTTGGACATATATACCTCTATCTGAATGCTTTATCTCTACAAACTCCTCCCCAACCCCTAAGCATCCCTTCTCTTTTATTCCCTTTTCTGTTAATAGTACATTTTGCCTGTCATTTAGTCAAAAATCATCCTTAAGTCATGCCTTACATGCATCACTAGTGCCACCCACAGCAATCCTTTGCTAAAGGCTAAGGATGAGAGGGGTTAAATAATGTTTATAATCTTTGGAGTCAGCTATACCAAAATATAAATGCATCTTTGAATTCCAATTTAAGAGGCCTAAATCCTCTTTCCTTTTTTTAAATTTATGGCAGATTTCTATTTGTTATAGGAAGGATCCTCACTGATGTAATATCAACTTGCTGTAAAGACTAAAAGGTGGTACATATTTAGTACTCCCCAAATACTGGTTCTCTTCTCATGCTCTTCACAATCATAGCCCCAGTTTTTGCCAACTATCTTTTTTGTTTAATCACAACATTGTCTGAGAAATGATCTGATAACAAGACTCTGCTAGACCCTGATCAAAATATAATATGATTAAATACATTTACTTAAGGGGAGCAGGACTATGTTGTCTCTCCTGCTCATAATGCCCTCCTTTAAATTTCCCATGAGTCATCATTCCATACATTGGCGTGCTTCAAATTCAGCTCAAGTGCTATGCATCTAGGCAACTCCAGATCTGTCTGACCATTTCCTTCTCTAAACCTTCAGTAGACTAATAGTATAATACGGTTTGTAACATATAGCTTGACAGGTTAGTTATACTTTTGGAGTATTACTGCAAAATAAGTGGAGTATAAGAGGAAAGGGGAAAAACCCTCTTAAACAATTAGAAGTCTGGTATTTAGAATAGCCCTTAGAGTCCATTAAGAGTCTAATCTATTGCTAGATTATTTTCTACAAAATATAACTTAGAATAAACTAACAACCCATCAACTACTTCACCTCCTTCCCAACTCTTTTCATTAACTAATGTATCTAAAACAAAAACATTTATTAAAATATGATAATATAGCACTTACTCTTCTTTCATCAACTGATTTTGCTGCAAGAATCATTCCTTCCAAACATTTTGAAATGATAGGAATAACTTTACGTTCTGAGTCTGCAAATCCTCTGTAACATTCACTGAGTTTAATAGTTCTTCGTTCATCCATTTCTTGTAGTTGCTAATAATCAGAAATTTTTTATAAGATAAAGCTGAATTTCTTTTCATTCTGAAACAACCCCCTCAAAAGCAATTAAAGATTCTAATAGTTGTGCTGCTGTTAATACCTTTTAACAAGAACTATAGACATACAATACTTCAAACTAAAGACTTGTGAAAAAGAAAAAAAAACAAGGTTTTTAGAGACATCCTAAAAACGGTGACACTGATTTGCAATCCTTTAAAAGGGACTCGCTAGAGCTAACAGCTCTCTGCCTATATATCCATCTTCATCTTTCAATTTTTAGTAAGAACAATTGTTTATGTTTTCAGGAAAAATTTCATTTGAAAACATATTTTTGATTTTTTTTTTCTTTTAAAGCAACTGGCCTAAAACATATGTAAGTCTGAGGCTTCTAAGCCTTTATATTAGTTCAGATTATTTGGGTAAGATCTGGTCAGACCAAAGATCCATGGCTGACTGTATACCACCAGGTACCTTGACCCACCAGTCTATAGGTCAGAGTGATACAAAGGAAAAGAGAAGCCACAAGGTAAAAATGATACATATATAGAATTCCCAACAATTTAAAATTTCATTGGCACATGCAACTAAAAACTATGCTGAGACACACTAAGTCAAATTACTTAGGGGCATTGTTGACGCTTCCTATTTGCCAACACCAACCTTTCTTTCCTCTAGGAAGCAACTACACTGCTTCCTATACTGCTTCCTATACTATACTGCAACATATCCTCCATATCATCTTTTCCTCTTTAATTATTTCCCAAGTTTGGGGAGTTTTAGATTTGCAATTTCTGAAACAACTGAAAGCCCAGAAATAATATGACATAGATGACAAAGGAGCAAAGAATATACACTGGAATAAGGAAAGCCTCTTCAACAAATGGTGCTGGCAAAATCGGACTGCTGCATTGCAAAAGAATGAAACTAGACTACTATGTCACTACTAAACACTAGAAATGGATCTGCCATACGATTCAGTGATTCTAACCCTAGGAATCTACCCAAAGAACACAAAAACACTAATACGAAAGGAAATCTGCACTTTTACATTTATTCCAGCACTATTTATAAAAGCCAAGATATGGAAACAACTTTAATGCCCCAAAACAGATGAATGGATTAAGAAAATGTGGTATTATATATACACAATAAAAGGCAACATGGATGGAGCTGTAAAGGTTGATACTAAGCAAAGTTAAGTCAGAAGGAAAAAGATAAATATCAGATGGTTCACTTAAATGTTCAATATAGAGAAACCAAACAAAGGGTCAAAGACAAACCCTGAAAGCTGATCATAGATATGAGGCATCCATGAAAAGAGGGTGAGTGTGTGGGGTGGGGTGAAAACACAGTGGGAAGTATACAACAGATATGGTGATGGACTATGGAAGTTTTGGATGGTGGGAGAAATACAGTGACCATACCTGAGGGGGAGAAATGACATATTGTGCAAAAATTAAATAAAAAAAAAAATTGCATTTTCACAAAAGAATTATCTCCAAAATGGCAAGATTGTTCCAAAGCAAAGTCCAAAAAGCAAAAGGATCAAATCCCAGAACACAATAAGTAGTTGATCTCACAGTTAAGGTCTCCCCAGAATACAGAAGCTTTTGGCTCATAAACCCAGAAAAACACCACAGAATGAGGACTGGCAGGCTTGGAACTCTGGATTAAATGACTGGAATCTGATACCCATCTAGTGCACCACCTCTCACTATGCTTCCTTTGTGCTTCTAACTTGCCTTACAAGGAAATAAAAAAATACATCTGGGTTTACCCTCTTCCCACATAGGTTCTGTTCTTCCAGATACTACTACTTTCAACACTGGTTTCACTAAATCCTTTTATTTCTCCTTTCTAGAACAGGCAGTAACATCATTAACCTTCATATAAATTCTGGGTCTTTACTTGAGGCTATTTGACAAATGCTATCAAGTAATCCTGGATGGGATTTATAGATAAACTAATGGCCTGAATTTTATATATGATCTATCTGGAAGTTACAAAGACAAGCAGGTTAAACCAAGCTAGCAAATACGTCTTTTTTTTTAAGATTCATTTTATTGATTTATATATACAAGAGCTGGGGTATAGATCAGAGGTGCGTGGGGTAAGAGGATTCTCCAAAGACAGAGTGGGGAGCACAACAGGCAGATCTACTGAAATACACTGCTGAAGGGAGCAGCAGGTGAAAATAGGCGAGGTCTGCTGTGCCATGTGGGCTAGCTCCCTGCCTGGGGATTGAACTCATGCTGTAGTGGCTGCCAATAGCTTCATAGAGCTTGCACCACCAGGGAAGCCCATTGTAAGATTTACTTCTGCATGTGAACAAATGTCAATGATTCTAGTATAGTATCAAAAAGCTATATCCCAATTCTAGGTGACCAAATTACACTATATAATTCCAGTGAATTCACCCTATTACATAATGACTTATTGTTAATATGTATCCAGAAAATGTCCCTTTTAGTGGACTATTTATTATGCTAATAACAAACCTGTAGGAAAATTTGTGATTTCCAATGTAATGAAAATTTAACTCAAATCCTCAACAAAGAAATCTCATGTCATTCCGATGACTAGTGATTCTAGAAATATTCTGATCGATGCCTGAAATTTAAGTTTTACATCTAAAGACTAGTTCTTCCTAAAGCTCTATTAATTTCATATATATAAATTTTACCTTGTAAATCTGAGGAATCACCACATAGAAATGTTTGTGTTGTTCTCCATTGAAGTTTTGTAATTGTGCAGCATATTCATTTTTATTTTCATCAGCCATATGTGTACGCAGATTCAACTGTTGTTTAGCCTAGAGGCAAATTGAGTTGTTTAGCCTAGAAGTCCAAATCAGCATTTAAAAAAAAACCCAGTATCATAGCTAATTCACTTTTCTAAAAGCTATACCAAAACTAGTTTTCTTCCTAACTAGTGATACCATTTAAAATTTAAGGAGAAGTTTGCAGGTCATGCAGCCAGAGCAATCTAATATTCCCTTTCTCTCTTACTATAATAGTCTTCCCCTTACAATAATTCATTCAAATAAAGTTACTTACTAAGTCCAGATTCTTAAGAATTAAGTAAATGACATTATTGCTTCAAACAGTTAAGCTTTTAAATCAGAAGACAGTAACAGCGTCAGGAATATTTTAGACAAACAGTAAACATTTCTTTTATATGATATACTTATATCTAATTCAGAACTACAATGAAACCAAATGATTTAAAATGGGGTTTTTAGATAGGTAATATCCAACATGTTTGATAGAAAATTAAATGTATTCATAAAGAGTTAATATCAATCAGCAAGGAAGTTTCCCAAACAATGTTGTTTACAAGTGGTATTGCCTACACTTTCTTTACAGCAAGTAATGATAACACATTATGTGTAAAACAAGATGCTATGAAAAAAACTATGGTGGATGATCAAAATCAAGATCCAAAAATCTTAAAAGATTAAATATAATAATTGATACAGATATACATAAGCACTTAAAAAACCAAGGTACAAGTTCTGTCTGAGACAAATCTTCTCATACCACACCTATGTGTGAAAACACATAGGGATTTCAATTAATCATAAATTTAAGGGGAGTCAGTACAAACAATGTGGTTGCCCCAGAAGTCAATATACATTTAGGCTATAGTTAGTATTCAAAACAAAGGAGTTATCAAACTCAGATCTGATCAAACCATACCTGGAATATTATATCCAACTTGAGGTAATATGCTTTAAATGTGATATTGATGAATTAAAGGATATCCAAATCAAAGTAGTCACAATGAAAGGTAACTTAAAACTATTTCATATAGGAATAAAGAAACATTAATAAATCATTTTAGGGTAGATAATCTGCTATAACTATTTAAAAGGCTGTTATGAGAAAAAAATAGAGTTCTTATTTTTGTATGGTATACAAAAGAAACTAAAAGGAAGCAGGGTGACACGTGGGGTAAATACAAAGAAATATGGGTGGGTGGGGGTGTGTGTGTGGGTGGGGGTGTGTGTGTGTGTGTACAGACTGCCTGAAGCCTGTGAATTTCAATGACCTATTATTAGAGGTACAAGTCATTAAAAATAGGATAAACAAGATGTAAGCATCACAAGTTATACCAAAAGCCCTTTATGGTACTATAATATGGCATTTATATGATTTGAGGATTTCATTTTTAATTGGTAAAAAAATGGATGACAGAAAATAAATTATCTTTCCATCTCTCTTTTTTCTTGTTCTGATTATGTAGGGAATTACAAAATTCTGAGAATGATGGGCCTTTATATATACCAACAATGTGGAGGAGTAAGGTTCACCTACATTTCAAAATCACATTTCAACTCTGCCACTGTGTCAAATGTTCTAAGAGAAAGATTGCATAGCAGGCAAGAAGGTAAAGCTAAGCAGTAGTTACAGGGCTGATTCTAGCAGACAATTAGTCCCAGCATCAGTTAATGTGTGATGAGGATTCAGTTTTCCAAAATGAATAATCAAACAGTTAATATCATACTTCTTATAGTTACATCCATGTTTTCCCCGCTGTAAGGTTGGGGAATGCACACAACCCAACCCCACTTGCATACCCCACAGACTACAAAGTCATTCCCAACAGCAACTATTTCTTTATTATGCATTCTAAATGCAGTTAGGACATTAAAATAAAGTAAGTTAACACATATTAATTACTTTCCCAGAAAAGTATGAACAATTTTAAGTAGGCAAATAGTTGAATAGTATAGATTTAGATGCAATATATCTCTTGGGGAAACTAATACCAATCAAATACCATAACTACTCTATATGCAACTCAAAATTTTGGTATCAAAATCAGTTTGAATTATTTACCTTTTCAACATCTGCTTTGGTTGCATTAGTATCATTATCCAATCTTTCATAACTCTGTTGTGCTTTTTCTGCCTCTCTGCATTCTCTTTCAAATTTCTTTTTACTCTGTTAAGAAAATTAAAATATCACATTCAGAAATAAAATTACATCACATTTTAAAAAAATAACTAAAATGTTGCCACTGTGTACTATAAAGAATTGAAAACTGAAAGTAAAAATTTTCTAAATTAAAAAATTTTACTATAATTAATCCATGTACCTTAAACATCTGGCACTAATTACAGACAAAAGAGAAAAAACACATGCATGACTAATATTTATTATATATTTCCTTTCTTCCTAAGAAAGAAAAAATTGTATGTTTTGTAATTTCTTTATTATAAGCCTATCTTCAGCAGTATATTTTTGTGTTTGGTAGGCTGGTTTGAACACTTGCCTGTTTTTCTTTTTCTTTTTTCTTTCCAGTAGCCTGGGATATGAAAATGTCCCTCCAAAGAAGTTTTATGATATTTCTTTCAGGCGTCCCAGAACAAGGCCTTTAAATTTTTTATTCAATTCAAGTAACAATGACTTTGTAAAAGCTATTCACAACTGAGTCATGTGCCATGGTTCATTTCCTATATACATTTAATTTTTTTTTAAATTTTATATCTTTTTTACATCATTTTTCATTTTTGCACAATGTATGCATTTTCATCTTGGTTATAGTCCCCATACAATTCCCACCCCCCTTGTTCTGATCCTACTCCCTTCTCCCCTCCTCCCACCACCCCGTAGTGTGTCTCAAAACTGAAAAAGATAAACTCATGAAATTTGCAGCAACATGGATGGAGCTGGAAGGGATCATGCTCAGCAAAATAAGCCAAAAAGAAAAAGAAAAATACCAGATGGTCTCACTCATAGCAGGAATTTAGAAAACCTAGATAAGGGGCCAGGAAAAAAGACTAATTGTAATAAAGTAAAAATCAAAATCAACAAGCAACTATAATCCTACATACTTTTTTTAAATCCTGGATTAATGACTTTTTAATTTTACTTTGTTTTCACTGCATTTTTCTCCAGTTCAGCCCTAGCTTCTCCTACTTTAAATCTCTTTCCAGTCAATTCAAACACATTCTGAATGCTATCAATTTTATTTCTTGATTAAATCTTACCTGCTGAGAAGCTTCTGCCCAGGTGAAATTTGTACTGGTTCCTAATTAGATCTACTGCTTAGCTGCTACTTTGTGATTTCCCTTCACCATTATCCTGGAAATTCCTTTCACCTCTCCCTTAGTTCACACCTTCCCCTTTCGTAAATTTTGTTGGAATACACTGAGCAGTAACTTCCTCAAAAGAGGTTTGTGGGAGATAATTTTTTAAGTCTCCATAGCTAAAAATAGACTTTACAACCATCTTTTTTTTAACTACCCAATTTTTTTTTTAATTTTATTTTATTTATTTATTTACATCACTGTTCATTTTTAAAAAGATTTATTTATTTATGCATACAATAGCTGGGGTATAGGCCAGAGGTGCAGGCGGGTCAGAGGATTCACCAGAGACAGATTGGGGAGCAGAACAGGCAGACTGACTGAAACGCACTGCTGAGGGGAGCAGTGGGTAAGACAGGAGAGGTCTGCTGCACCACGTAGGTCAGCTCCCTGGCCTGGGATAGAACTCGTGCAGCAGTGGCTATTGATAGTTTCATAGAGATGCGACTTAATCCCTTATGCTACCAGGGAGGCCCCTCATTGTTCATTTTTGTACAATGTTTGCTTTCTTTTCTCAGGTGTAGTCCCCATAGAATTCCCACCATCAATTCACCCGTGCACCATCACCAGTCTCCTGTGCTCTTTCCTCCCCTGTTCTGGTCCCTCTCCCATCACCTCCCTGCCATACCATCATTTTTAACTGAAAAACTTTGGCTATGAGACTCAGTGGAAAACTGTCTTCCTTCAGATATATGAAAGTACTGTCTACTCCACTGTTGTCTAGCATCTTGTCTGATTATTTTCTAATCTGACTGTGATTCCTGATCCTTTGCATAAAAAAGTATGTTTGCTTTCAGTTTTGTTTTTCCTCTTAAGAGGCTACATTTTCTTTCTCCTAATTGCTCTGAAATTTCATAAAGATATGTCATGCTGGGCCTCCCTGGTGGCGCGAGGACTTAAGACGCAACCTATGAAGCTATCGCAGCCACTGCAGCACAAGTTCAATCCCCGGCCAGGGAGATACCCACGTGGCGCGGCAGATCTCTCCTGTCTCGCCCGCTGCTCCCCTCAGCAGTGTATTTCAGTCAATCTGCCTGTTATGTTCTCCACTCTGTCTCTGGTGAATCCGCTCACCCGCCACCCACCCACCTCTGGCCTGTACCCCAGTTCTTGTATACATAAATTAATCTTTTTTAAAAAAAGATGTGTCGTGCACTGGATCCACTATGCTGGACACAGGCAAAATCCTCACCGCCTAAAAACTGTGTCTTTCTATTCTGGGGAAATTTTCTTTATTTTGCCTGGCCATTTCCTATGTTTTCTCTTTTAGAGGGTGCTCATTATTTTGAAAATAAATGAATACAATGAGTCCTCTAAATTTCTTTCCACTTTCCTATTTTCAATCTGTCATTTAACTACTTTCTGAGAGATTTCTTCAGTTTCATTCTTTTAGCAAGTTTTTCATTTCTCCTTTCATCAAATTCCTTGGTCCTCAATGTTCCTTTACTCCCTTTGAAAGTATTAACAGTAGTGTTTTGTTTTGTGTTTATAATTCCCATTTCCTTTCATAGTCATTGTTGCATCAAACTTTCTTTCTTTGCTGTTTATTAGTTTTCACCTTTGGTGTTCACATTAGATGTTTTCTTTAAATGCCCAGACATCCTTGCTTATCTTTTTTTTTTTTTTAATAGAGGCATGTTTTATTTATTTATTTATTTATTTATTCATTTGTTTGTTTTGTTTATACATGCACTGGGTACAGTCAGAAGCGCGGGAGGGTGAGAGAATTCACCAGAGCCAGAGCGGGGAGCAGAGCAGGCAGAAGGACCGAAGTACACTGCTGAGGGGAGCAGCGGGCGGCAGGAGAGGTCTGCGCGCCACGTGGGACCCTCCTCCAGTGGCCGGGGAGCAGCCGGGGATCGAACCGGCACTGCAGAGGCTGCTGGCAGCTTCGCAACCCAGCGCTCAACCGCTGCGCCACTGGGGAGGCCCTTTTTTTTTTTTTTTTTTTTTTAAGATTTATTTATCTATACAAGAACTGGGTACAGGCCAGATGTGCGGGAGGGTGAGAGGATTCACCAGAGACAGAGCGGGGGAACAGAACAGGCAGACTGTCAGAAATACAGTACTGAGGGGAACAGCGGGCAAGACAGGAGAGGTCTGTCGCGCCATGTGGGTTGCTCCACAGCCAGTGGGGATCAAACCGGCACTGCAGAGGCTGCAGACAGCTTCACAGCACTGCACTCAACCGCCTGCGCCACCAGGGAGGTCCTCTTGCTTGTCTGGTCTTATTTAAAAAGCCAACTGAAAGCTCTACAAGTAGGTAGGTTTTACTCTTTTCCTCGAAGGTGATATGGTCAGGCAGTTTCCTTAGAGAAACCCTGGTATCAGTACCTTTCCTATCAAGTTAGATTCCCCAAAAGATGTTTCCGACTCCTCAACTGGAAAATATATTCCCTGTTATCCATATTCTGAGAATCCCTCGGAAAAGGATGTCAACATTTTCTGTTTAACTAACTCCCACATTAGAACAAATTAAGATGCTATTTTTTTTGTCTTGGGGATTACAAAACTACATAGATATTGCAAAGTTGGATTCCAAATTTCATAACTACAAGATCAAAAGGTTTAAATTTCTCACAGGATCTCTCTTCCTTTGAGCTTCAAACAGACAGGTGTCTGATACTTTCCCTTGGTCAATGAGTAGAGTTCTTATAGTCCACCTTTCACTAAAGGTTTAGTTCTCCAAAGGTTCAAACCCTCCACAATATCTGGAGCTAAAACTTAATCTCTGTCCTTATGTGAATATTAAAACCTAAGTCCTAAGCAAGGTCCACTGAACCAACACCTCTGCCCCCATTTTTCCAAATACAACTACCAGTTCATACATCTCTTGATCTAGCTTTTAGTTTACTTTTTAGCAGTTAGAGATTTCCCTTTCTTTCAGGTACCTCTGCTAAGAGCTTAAAATATAACAAAAATATTTTGTTATTCTATCTAGGTTAACCCAAAGGTTTCTAAGTTAGCTCAGTTTGCTATGTATCCAGAACTAGACATACCAATGATTTACAGCAAATAAATGTGCCCAAATGTACTTATTTTGGCTAGTATGAGACATCAAATGAGATACTGACACTAATAAGCACATAAATATATCTGTGTAACATGCAAAATGTCACTTTCCTATAAAGACAGATTAAACGTCCACATTTAATTCTGAAACTCAGTTCAGAGCTGTGTTTTCAAACTGAGAAACTATAGGTTACTAGTTTTGGTGCAAACTGAGGCTACTTAGATAAAGTATTTTTATGTTAGATGTTTTAGTACCTGTTGGTGGGGGGGAATACTACCTAATAATTTCCTTGCAATAGCAAAAGAACCACTGGTATAATAAAACCACTGGTATAATAAAAACACTCCGTCCCTGAAATATCCTCTAATGTTATACAAATAGAGAAATACACTTCAGAAAAGCCTCTTTCTGCATCCTTTTGTGTGGCAGAATAATAAAGAGGACTTCTATTCCATCCTTTCTTAGGAAAGTCCACCTCCTGGTATAGACATTGAAAATAGCTGATATTTGCCTTACTAGCCTCTCCATAGCCCGGACATGGTCAAGTAATCTAATTCTATAAAAGGGACCCATGAAGGAATATACTAGATAAGTTTTCCTTTCCTAGTTTAAAAAAAAAAAAAAGCGCAGCTGGGTTAGAAATGTTTCCTTTTCCTGCTTCTCAATGCAGCTGAATGACAGTGTGGTGCTTGGCTGCTTAAGTGTCTTTTTTTCTTTTTTAATTTTCTTTTTAAAATTATTTATTTATTTATTTATTTATACAAGCACTGGGTACAGTCAGAAGGGCAGGAGGGTGAGAGAATTCACCAGAGCCAGAGCGGGGAGCAGAGCAGGCAGAAGGACTGAAGCACACTGCTGAGGGGAGCAGTGGGCAGCAGCAGAGGTCTGCGCACCATGTGGGACCCTCCTCTGGTGGGCAGGGAGCAGCTGGGGATCGAACCAGCGCTGCAAAGGCTGCGGGCAGCCTAGCAACCCAGCGTTCAACCGCTGCGCCACCGGGGAGGCCCTGCTTAAGTGTCTTGACCATAAACAGAAAAGCAAACATGGCCAAGATGGCAAAATGGAGAGACAGAAAAGAGGTCACCTAGGTGACACCACTGAGCTACTGATCAACTCTTGGACCTGGCTCCATTTACAAGCCCAGTTTTCATAAACTTGTATACTGTGTTACATAGAACTGCCTAACTTACAGACTGAACATCTAAGATGCTTCTATCTTCTTAATTGCTATCAATTCTTCAAAATCTTCACAGGCTCTCTTTGTCCTCATCTTAAATGCTACTGCTGCCTATTTCATTAAACCTGAAACAAAAAATTGTCTTTTAAAAGTTTTTTTTCAGTTTTTAATACTTGTCATTAATTTAACTTGTCTCTCCCAGTTCTTTAAGTATCCTCTCAATTATTTCAAACATGTCAGAAATTCCACAAGTTCATTTTGTTTTAATCAAACAGGAATATGTGGACTAGGAAATGAGATCCTGCATATATTTATATATATTACATAAATATCGTATGTTTGTGTCCCTCACTAGACTGCAGGTTCCACAAACACCAGAACTACATCATATTCTACACTTGTACCTACTAGACTCAGTGCATGTCTAGCATGCCTTCAATAAGCATGAGTTGAATTGAGCTCACCTTTATTTCATGGTATTATTAAATGTCTTAAAGAAATCTCTCCTGCATTTCTTTTTTGATGTTTCTTTCTTATGACCCATAATTTTTGTTTAAAAACTGTCAATTGTTCTACAGGCAAGTCAGCACATATTAACAGGAATGATTTGTGCCAACACCAATTTTTAAAGGGCATGGTGACTCATGAGTGTAGGAGTCTGTTATTTTTTTGCAAATAAAAACACACACAAATACACATACACTCATTAGGAACACATAGTAAGGTGCTAGCTAAGGGAATTTAAAATTTAGTAAGTAAATACTCCCTTAAAAGTCCTTCTGAAACCAATTAGAAAGAAAATCAAAGCACAAACAAAACAAACTTAATATACTTAAGAATTCTAAATCAGCATTGGTGATTAGAATCTTACATTAGTGATATTTATATAGTAAACATTTTATCCTAAGCTTTGACTAAATATTTAAAAAGACTGAGAACAATGCACACACATGTATGAGATTTTTTAAAATCTCAAGTATAAATCTTTTTTCCAACAACCACAAAATAAACTGATTAACATGAAAAACTCCACCATAATTTTCAAGGAACTTTCCAATACAAATATATGCAAGCAAAGAATAAACTGTTCACTATCCTGAGAGTTCAAAAAGTATCAATCTTACACTACAGAACATTATTTGAGAGAACATTTTAAGTAAAGGAGATGACAGTGTTTCATGCAGACCTCTTGTTTTTCAAATCACTATATTGCAGAACACTACAAATAAACCACAGTAGGGGCCTCCCTGGTGGCACAAGGGGTTAGGATGCAACCTATGAAGCTGTCCGCAGCCTTTGCAGCACAAGTTCGATTCTCCCAGCCAGCAGGGAGCAACCCACATGGTGCAGCAGACCTCTCCTGGATCACCCAGTGCTCCCCTCAACAGTGTACTTCGGTCAATGTGCCTGTTCTGTTCCCCACTCTGTCTCTGGTGAGTCCTCTCACCCTCTGCACCTCTGCCCTGTACCCCAGCTCTTATATGTGTAATTAAATAAATCTTTAAAAAAACAAACAAACACAATAGACACACTCTTGGACAATTTTTAAGTAAATAATTATTACACTTTAATAATTTTGCCCCACAACATATTTTATGTCCTACAATAGGATAGTCTCTGCTCAGTAATAGCAACATTCACATTATTAGAGAATCACTGCACTAGAAGCAACATTTCATATAATCTAGTCCACTCTCTTCCATTTTCATATGCTAAAAATTAAGTCAACAGTAATCACATGCTAAAAGGAGATAGAACTAGAATAGAGGTCTTTCTCGGGCTCAATTGAATGGTTTTCTAAGATATAACCACTGTTTTCCTATTATTTCTACCCTTTATCAATATTTTATATTAACTGCTGCAAAGTCAAAAAGAATCTTTCCAAATGTTTACAATTAAACATTATAAAGATTAGAGAGTTAGTACAAGTATTGAACTATATGGGGAAGAGGGGACGTGTGACAAAATACTCTCACATTTTCTATTCACATCAATGTCAAATTATGGATAATCCATTGATAAACACTGAATTCAAATAGATGTGAAATATAAGAGAATTTAGGGTTAAACTGGCTTGCAAAATTTTATATTAACCATGAAAACATTATAACTCACATTATCCATCTGTTTCCAGCACATGTCAAGGTACTGTTGAGCTTTTCGTCCCTCTTGAAGATGCTAAAGATCGTTACCAAAAAAAAAAAAAAAAAAATTATATTTAAATACTAAGTTTAAAGTTCCAAGAAAACTTTTCACTTAATTTTTTTCAAGGTGCTAATTAATTATATAATCATATCAACACTTAGGAAGAAATTTATAGTAGCAAAACAAAACCCTCTAAAATGTATTTTACAGGATATTATTTGAATAACTTAAATATAACCTTTAAAAAAGATATAAGCTCCAGATAAATATTGTCTTGAATAGGGGTTAAGAAACATTTTCTATAAAGGTTCAGATAAGTATTTTAGGCTTTGCAAGCTGCATAGTCTCTTACAAATACTCAACTCTGCTGATGTAATAGAAAAGCAGCTACAGGCAATACTTAAGTGAGTATCAGTCCGTTTTTCCAATAATACTGTATTTTTCGTCAACAAAATCTGAACTTCATATAATTTTCACTTGTCATGAAATATTATTTTTCTTTTGATTTTTTTCAACTAAAAATGTAGAAACTGGTCTTAGCTTGTGGGAACTAGTAAACAAAAATAGGCAGTAGGCTAGATTTGGCCCAGAGGCTACAGATTTTGCCAAATCTTGGTGTTCAATCCAAGAGGATCACAAATTAGCAAGGGTATCTTAAGATAATTTTTAGGAAGAAGAAATTTAATGTAACAGAAAATCAATTTACACTGAAAATATATTATTTTAAAAAGCAAGTAAGATGTAAAAATATTTACATTCTAGCTGGATAAAAAGGATAAGGATTACCATTTTTCTTTCAGTTTTCAGATCATGAGCATATCTCATTAATTCACCATAAACTCTGTGTGCCATTTCTTCTGCCACGACTTCTCGCTGGCCTGCATAGTCATTTAACTCGTTAAGGATGTTCAAAAAGGCTATACACGAGGTAAACCTGATAAAAATATTAAGAAAAAGATGGTGAAATTTGATTTCATTTTTATTACAATTTTTTAAATGCAGTATGGCTTATACCTAAAACTCAACAATTTTTAATATACTCAACCTAAATCTCAGCTACTAGTCCTAAATTAACTTTGTATTGGCAAGAAACTTGCATTAAGCTCAAGTTGCACCTGTGTATCTTCAAGTAGTCTTAATATATAGAGAAATATTTGGGATCAAAAATAATAAAATAGTACCTGCAGGCTCTTTTGGCATAATGGAATATTTTAAGTTGCCAATGACTGGCCTGAGTGAGATTGAGAACGAACTTGTGGATTCCTAGGCTTGGCAGCTGAACCTGTTGCAGAGATGACGTGCTTGCTCTCAAGGACAGAACCTGCCAATCTTACCACTCAAATGGATCTCGATGATTAATCTACAGAACAACTTTGCTATCAGCGCTGGAAACAGCTGCCTGTATCTGCCCACGTCCTGAATGTCACTCAACCACTGCCATTAAGGTCATCACCAAAGGAGGATAAGAAGGGGCAAAAATAAGGGTAAAAAGTGTGTGTGGAGGGCATCCCTGGTGGCGCAAGGGGTTAAGCACTGCACTATGAAGCTCTCTGCAGCATGAATTCGATCCCCAGTCAGCCAGGGAGCAACCCACATGGCGAGGCAGACCTCTCCTGTCTTGCCCGCTGCTCCCCTCAGCAGTGTACTTTGGTCAATATGCCTGTTTTGTTCCCCATTCTCTCACCCCCCACACCTCTGTCCTGTACCCCAGCTCTTATATGCATAATTAAATAAATCTTTAAAAAAAAAAAAAAAGAATTTAAAAGTGTATGTTGAGAGGAGGGAAAACAGAATCACTGTATTAAAATGTATAGATCTACTTTAAATACTGCCAAAACATTTAGCAGTTGAAGGCAGAGCTCAGTTATGACTCTAATAACACTAAACCTGAGACTCCTAACAACTGACAATGAAAATTTCTTTGCTTTATGTTTATTTTTGTTTCTACAGTTTATACCCATCCATATATCTGTTTAAAACTATCCAAAAGCTCACAGGCAATTCCTAATCTTTTATATAGGGTTCCAAATTACCCTAAAAACCTCATTCCTTTTCATTATCCTTTTAAACCAACCAAATTATTTAACTATGTGAGAATAAAAGCAAGAATCTAACAAGCCGACAACTATAAAATAAACTAGAAAAAAAACACCTTTTTCTTGTGGAGACTAAATCACTAACGTGGGGTCTTAGTCTACATCTTACTTGGAAACCCGTATTTCAGCTACTTTAGAATAGCTGATCAGCTACTGATAAAGTCCACTGAAGTTTTTGTCCCAGTATATAATTTCCTATTTCAAAAGAACCTTTAACTGTAACAAACTTGAAATAGTTATAAAAATCTAACAACACAAATATATTTTACTAAATAACAAAAATCTACGTAGTCAAAAAACTTTTAATGAGAATAATAAACAGGTATATAATTTACCTTGGCTCTTCATCTTTGGAGGAACGTTTGGGACAGTACTTCTTAACCAGATTTCTATGGGAAGATGATTATTTTATTAAAAATACTGTTATTAACTGAAATACTCTAAGTTTTCAACTTCACTCAACCACTGCCATTAACATATGTTAAATATATATTACATTTATGTTTCATTCTTAAAATGTTTTGTTCTTGTATTTACTTATATTTTGTTCTTAAAATACTGCTACCTGTAGAGCGAAAGGTGATTTCTAAGTTTATATAAATTTTCATAACAATTTGACCATGCTATCAAATAAGAAAAGAGGTAAGAGGAAGATGAGAATACAGTATATGAAAATAAGTCAAGGTACAAATACCCGTATTTTCAAAGAAATACCGCCACTACTTTGTTTTACAAGTCAGAGATTTGAATGCTAAGGTAAATATAATCTACAAAACAGTAGTGACATTTAGGTTTTCATGAAAACAGAATCTGTTAATTATATAAAAGTACTCAGAAGAGTGCTGATACTTTAATGCTACATAAGTGTTAGTACAAAAAAAGTGCTTGCTCTATGACAGGCACTGTTCTAGAAATCAGGAACAAGCAGCACACATTAAAAAACAAAAATTTTTTCCCTTTCTGTAGTTTACATTTTAGTAGGGAGAATATATTCTAGAGTTAAGTCAAATTATTTAGCCAATAAATCATCTGCACCCAGAAAGATTCATTAACTACTGGGGACTGACAAGAATGAACAAGCTTCCATAAGATCCAATTCTATGAAGTGAATTTAAATTTCAAAATAAAGAGAACCGTTCCTCCTGCCTGTATCCAGAGGCCACTATTATTATAAAATTTTTTTAGGGGGGTATACTATTCATTGCTCAAAAGCCAAACTTATGAAGGAAATCAGGTTTAATCAGGTGCCAACAAACTTGAGGACATGGAAGACTACTGTGACAAAAGTCATATTCCTAACTGAGGGGAAGCAGGCACTTATATAAGTGAGTATGAAGGAGGAGGAGGAGAGGCTAAGGGGACTACACCAGGATTTCAGAGAACAAGCAGAATTTTCCAAGAACTGCATTCATGCCTCTTTTTCTTCCACATTTGGTCTTGACTGGATCTGTCCAGATACTGATAGGGTTATTCTGACTATGATAATAAGGTTGTGGCTTAACCTTTGTTTTACTTTAATTCCATCTTGGTTTCTAGTTTTGCCTGGTTTTCTGGTTTTGTCTGCAAGAAAAGATAAAGAGGAGCAGAGCAAGAACAGGGCAAAGACAAGGAATTATGGATACCAGGCCAGTGATGGTAACATTAGAATTTACTACATTAAGCAGTTGATCAAAAATTTCAGAGAAAGCCAAAGCAGCAAAGGTTAAACAATGGTTGACCAAAGAATGAAAGTAATCCCCACTTTCAAAAAGTCAGTACAAAGATGAGCTTCCTGGGTTCTTCTGAGACTAAAGAGTGACAAAGAAAGAAAATTCTTAAGAAAGAGGCATAAAACATTAAAGACTGACTAGAAAAGAGATTGGTTTTATTTGGATTATTCTCTTAGTAGAACAACCTCATTACTGTAATATACATGACACAAATAGTAGTATGGAGAGAATGTAGTACTTAGTCAAAGGTTTAGCTTATGATCAGACATCCTAATTTCTAAGCTAAAACCGAAACTTGTATTATTAAACTATTTACTCATTCACTTGACATTTACTCTTCAGAGGCACCAGCTATATTGCCACGCTTGGCACAGTACAGAAATGAACGTAAGACAGTCTTTGATCAAAAGGAATTTGGAGAGCATTTTTGCTCTGGTTAAGGGTAGTTTGCAGACTTCCTGTTGTCCAATCGACTTCTCTTACAGTTTACCACACAGCCACATTTTAACCAAGAAAGGAATAGCTTGGGGTGGAAGTAGGGGGACATAATTTCACATAACAAACTCTATGCCAGAATTTACTGTTACTAATTTTACTTAAAAGAAATTATCTATCATGTTTATAAGCATCTTAGAAATTTTAATCCCTGCCACAAAATATTGTAAGATTAACTAAAATTATGTCTGCAAACAAAAAACATCCTACCAAGACATAATGAAGTTACCACTTAATATCCAAATGGACATGATTCAATTGTCAATAACTATGTATCCAAACAAGACTAGGTGCTTTAATATTCCCATCCTCATACTAATACCAAAAATTAAAAAAAATCAAACCAAAGTCATCAAAATAGATGAACAGAAGAATAAAATAAGTGAGGGTTATCAATGACTGAGAAAGTCTAAATGTGCAATACATTTAAAGGTAAATGTTTAACATTCTAATTATGGTTATTAATAAGGGGGGGAGTTGACTCCTTATAAAAGATATTGCCCTCTGCAGTAGCAAAAACAGAAGGGAGTTAACCAAAAGAATTTTTCCCATTAAAGAAAAACAAACATGACAAACCTCTTCCCTTTGGACAAAAGAAATACTATAAAGAGCATCTAATAACTCAATCATTTATGAAGCATTCATCCAAAGCAGTAAATCCTAATGCAGAGGAAGAGGTATTTTTAAGTTCCACATGCCTCTTGCCCAACTCTTTCTTATTGGAATTTCAATAGAGAATCACTACAACTGAAAATCATTGTTAGGATGGAAATGTGTCAATTTTTTTTAGTGTACTGGGACAGAAAAAAAGATGCAAATCACTGATCTACAGCATCTGTACCTAATTAAACCTATTTTCACAATGCAAAATTATACCTTTACTTCAATGTAGGAGTGTTCTAATCTCTTTTTGCACATAAGTGAAAAGTCTAGTATAAGTCACAGAACAACAGAAAAGAAAACAAGTCTGCTCTTTGATTAGAGTCCTAATACTCTGGTAAGATCTTGGTCACCCCGAAACCTTTGAGGCCCAAGCTTTTCTGACAGTTAAATATTCTAGATAGCTGAAGTTTTAGCTCACAAATTACCAATCTTCATTTTGTAATTTGTGATAGGATTCTCTTTAGAAGTATACCATCTTCTTTGCTTAGGAACAAGTGTTTTTAAACATTATCATTGAAAAGGCTTCAACAATTCAAAAACGTAAGTAAAATAATTGTCTCTGCCCTTTTCATCTCCCTATTTGCACCCCCATGGATAACCAGTGTAAAACAATTGCGGGGGGGTAGCTCTTCAGAACATATACACATTTTATACCTAACTATATACACAAACTCAAATAAGCAAGGAGTTCTTGCTGTACATTTAGTTCTGCAACCTGTTTTTTACACTTACTGAAAAGCTGTGTAAAGTTTAAATATGCTAGTACACCTGACTTATTTAAAATGCATATACCTCAATGTTTTTCATCATTCTCTTACTAACTGATATAGGTGCTTTTAGGCTAGAGACATTTTTTCATCTGTTTTTCATAATATTTTAATCTTGTTCTTTATTGTCTCTTTATACTGCCATCACTGTAATATCAGTAGTAGTTCTTTTCCTCACATCTATCAGAGAAGTTGGCAACTCGAACACTTAATGTGCTAATATTAAGATCAAATTAAAAATTACATGAGAGAAATTTTTTATTATTCATATGTGAGTATATTTCTTGATTACTATTTTTAACTTCCAGGAGGTCCTTTATGCTTCTAGATTCTTAAAAATCTTAATTTTTGGATAGATGAAATATCATCACTAGTATTATTAATGTACCCTTAAGTTCCCTGTTGAAAGAACAAAAGAAGAAAATCAATCAGGAAATTAGCATGATGCCACTATTGCAGTAAATGTGTATCTAATATGTGTATCATTTACACATATTATAGTTTACCCCTAAACAACCCAGGGGCGTAAGGGATGCCAACTTCCATGCAGTCAAAAATCTGTGTGTAACCTGTAATTCCCAAAAAAACTTGAGTTCTAGTTGCCTATTGCAGATTGGAAGTCTTACTGATAACAAACAGCTGAGTAATACAGCATATGTTACATGTATTTTACATGTACATGTATTATAACTGTACATGTCTTATATACTATATTTGTACAATAAAGTAGACTTAAAAAAAAAATCAAAGTTGGTGCAGCAGGCCTCTCCTGCCTTGCCCACTGCATCCCTCAGCAGTATCTTCGGTCCGTCTGCCTGTTCTGCTCCCTGCTCTGTCTCTAATGAATTCTCTCACCCTCCCACACCTCTGGCCTGTGCCCCGGCTCTGGTATAAATGAATAGATATTTATTCATTCATGAATATATCTTAAAATATATATATATATTTTTTGGGGGGGGCCTCCCCGGTGGCGCAGCGGTTGAGCATTGGGTTGCGAAGCTGCCCGCAGCCTCTGCAGCGCCGGTTCGATCCCCGGCTGCTCCCCGGCCACCGGAGGAGGGTCCCACATGGCGCGTAGACCTCTCCTGCCGCCCGCTGCTCCCCTCAGCAGTGTACTTTGGTCGTTCTGCCTGCTCTGCTCCTTGCTCTGGCTCTGGCGAACTCACTCACCCTCTCGCGCTTCTGACTGTACCCAGTGCTTGTATAAATAAAAATAAATAAATCTTTTAAAATATATATATATATATAGTTTTGCTTAAAAAAAAAATTTGGGCCTCCCTGGTGGCGCAGCGGGTTGAGCATGGCACTGTGAAGCTATCCTCAGCCTCTGCAGCGCGGTCGATTCCCACAGGGCGTGGCGGGCCTCTCCTGCCTTGCCCACAGCTATGGCAGCGTCTTCGGTCCCTGTGCCTGTCCTACTCCCTGCTCTGTCTCTGGTGAATTCTCTCACCCTCCCACGCGCCTGGCCTATGCCCCGGCTCTGTTATAAATGAACAGATCTTTAAAAAAAAAAAATTTGTTTAAAAAAAAAGAAAATCATAAAGTAAAATACATTAATAGTACTGCACTATTTACCAATACCGTAAGTTTATATCACTTATTTATCCACATGTAAGTGGAGTCACATAGTTCAAAGGCCAACTGTAATCCATTCATCATACTAGTTTATTCCATCACTACACCCAGTCGGTTTCATAAATCACTACTACATAGTATACATAAGATACTTCCTTCTGAGCCCTACTACCTTAAATTTCTTTTGAGTAACTATCCCTCCTCCATCATTAGGTATAAGTTAATCCAATATATTCATTCAGTAAATTGTTCAGGATAAGCCTATAAACTAATCAGGGTTAGCATGACAGAAAAATCTCTGCTCAGATTTCTTGAGGGAAAGAGCTGCTTTCCTTCCACAGGCCCCCACTCCCTTTTTTTTCTTTCTTCTTTCCCATTTTTCTTCCTCTCTCCACCCCAAAGGTACAACAGAGAAGACCATCATTCTTTCCCACAACGTAGGATGTGAAGATATAAAATGTAGAGCTACGGGAGTAAAGAGGATGATACTGAACAGAATTCGAGGATAAAGACAACAAGGAGAAATGGGAACTGGACACATTTGACTCCTGGCTTGCTTCAGCTGGACTTTTGTCACTTGCAACACTGAGAGTCCTAATCCCTCCCTAAAGCCAGACTCTTTTATTGGTATCTAGTCTCAGACTTCAAGCACCATTTTTATTGAAAACTTTCCAGCAAAACTACTTGTCAAGCTGTGGTCTAATGATGATTTAACATAATCTTGACATAATCTTAAAATTAGTTTCATATGCTTTAAGACTAAAATTATGCCTTTAAAATGTTTATCTTGGGCCTCCCCAGTGGCGCAGCGGTTGAGCGCTGGGTTGCGAAGCTGCCCGCAGCCTCTGCAGCGCCGGTTCAATCCCTGGCTGCTCCCCGGCCACAGGAGGAGGGTCCCACATGGCGCGACAGACCTCTCCTGCTGCCCACTGCTCCCCTCGGCAGTGTACTTCGGTCCTTCTGCCTGCTCTGCTCCCCGCTCTGGTGAATTCTCTCACCCTCCACGCCTTTGACTGTACCCAGTGCTTGTATAAATAAATAAATAAATCTTTAAAAAAAAAAAAAAATAGGACTTTCTGAAGAGTCCATGTCTGTCTTCTCAAAACAAAACAAAATAAAATAAAATGTTTATCTTTAATTCTGACTTGCTTTACTGGACATTATTCTCTCAAATTCACTCCATTTTGTTGGAAATGGCTGTATTTCATCTTTTCTTATGGTTGAATAGTGTAGCTTATGGCTGAAAATTACCAAGTGTGGCAATATCACATCTTAATCTAATCATCTACTGATGAACATTTAGATTATTTTCATGTCCCAATTATTGTAAAGAATGCCGCTATGAACACTGAAAAACATACAGTTTTGTGCGTTGGTTTCACATTCTCTGGATAGATGGCCAAGAGTAAAATTTTACTTCTAATACATATTCCAAAATAATTCATCGGTAATATGTATCTGGTCTCTTAAAGAAACTCAGCACTCCTCAATTTTCAAGTCTTGGAAACTCTAAGTGACTTTCTGGAACAAAACTACTCATGATCTATCAAACCAGTATTTCTTATGGCACTAGGCAATGATTTAATTAAACTGATCACTGAAACAGGAGCGTTTTCAATATAATTCTGATGAAAAACATACGACTTAACCTCTAGTATATTACATTTATCTAACATCCAACTACTTAAATATGTAATTTCATTTTTAAGAATTGAAAAAAACACTTAACTTACCTCAATTGTTTTGCATAATTCTGTTCAATTTCTATCCTCTCTTTTACAAATTTGGCATATCTTTCCAAGAAGTCAATTCCCCACTGTGTATGTTTGTCTAAACTGTCGAACTGATCCTAGAAAAGAAAAAAACACACTGAAAATATAGAATTTTATCTACGAATATTTTAACCAGCTCCTAATATTTGACCAGACAAGCAAAAAGGTAGAAAAGGAAAAAAATCAGGCCTCCCTAGTGGCACAAGGGGTTAAGTTGCAGCACTGTGAAACTGTCCACAGCCACTGCTGCACGAGTTCAATCCCCAGCAGGCCAGAGAGCTGACCCACATGGCGTGGTGGACCTCTCCTGTCTTGCCCGCTGCTTCCCTCAGCAGTGTATTTCAGTCAATCCACCTGTTCCCCACTCTGTGGTGAATCTTCTCAACCCCCCCCCACAACACCTCTGGCCTACACCCCCACTTTTGTATGCATAAATAAATCTTTCAAAAAAGAAATTTATCTGTGTTCAAATTCTGGGCTCTTCATTTACCAGGTGTTTGACCATCATAATTTGGGAGTCCCATTAACCATCTCATAGTCTGTGGTGACACCATTGAGTAAATGTGATACATATAAAGCAACCTTGTATTGTGAGGACTCACAAAATATTTCCTTGTACATGTTACCTGAAATCATCATTTCCTACCCTTCAGGAAAAAAATCTCCAAATGGAATAATGTAGTGCTCTTTCCATTTCAAAAGTCTATAATGCTGGGCCTCCCTGGTGGCGCAGGGGTTAAGCACCACACAATGAAGCAATCTGCAGCCTCTGCAGCACAAGTTCAATCCCTGGCCGGGCAGGGAGCAACCCACATGGTGCAGCAGACCTCTCCTGTCGTGCCCACTGCTCCCCTCAGCAGTGTATTTCAGTCAGTTTGCCTGTTCCCCACTCTGTCTCTGGTGAATCCTCTCACCACCACCCCCACACCCCCGCATCTCTGGTCTGTACCCCAGCTCTTGTATGCATAAATAAATCTTTAAAAAAGAAGTCTATAATGCTAATAAAATAATCAATTCATCCCTTTCTATATTACCAATTGTTTCGTTTTTCTAAATCCCCCAGGGTTTAGTCACATGTGTTATTTAAATCACTCTAAAATTGCAGTAAATTCTATCTAAACAGCAGAGAACTCATCTGCTACCAGAGTTTTACACTACCACTCTAATTCTAGTCTTCCATGAAATTTTTTCATTATTGTTTTGCTTCCATGGTAGACTTGAAAACAGCCCCTCCAAAAAAAACTCTTTTCAGTAAACTTAATTGGTTTATTAGTACTAGTTTCCATTATATTCTTTCAAACTGAAAAGCTATCAATGGAAAGATCATTCCCCCAAAAAGCCTGAAGTTAAAACAATCATTCATTTTTTCCAAAATGCTTCAAAAGCTTCTTCCCATCAGCTTCTTGATCTTGTATTATACACCTTTATCTTTATAGATGAATCTCCAAATTGTTCTCACAAACCCCATCAGTAAAAAAATCTGAATACCTCTATTACATGTACACGTATAAATTATAGAATACCATTAAATAATTATAAAATCCACAAAAACAAATTTTAAAAAAAGTGAAAAATACACTTTTAAAATAGTTTTAACTTACTTAATAAACAAAAGCCTTAGGACTATGCCTTTTTAAAAAAAAAAAAAAAGATTTATTTATTTATTTATACAAGCACTGGGGAGTCAGAAGCGCGGGAGGGTGAGAGAATTCACCAGAGCCAGAGCGGGGAGCAGAGCAGGCAGAAGGACCGAAGCACACTGCTGAGGGGAGCAGCGGGTGGCAGGAGAGGTCTGTGGGTCATGTGGGACCAGGGCCGGGGAGCAGCCAGGGATCGAACCGGCGCTGCGGAGGGTGCAGGCAGCTTCGCAACCCAGTGCTCAACTGCTGCACCACCGGGGAGACCCCAGGACTATGCCTTTTTTTAAAGATTTACTTATGCATACAAGAACTGGGTTACAGGGGGTGAGAGGATTCACCAGAGACAGAGTGGAGAGCAGAACAGGCAGAGTGACTGAAATACACTGCTGAGGGGAGCAGTGGGCAAGATAGGAGAGGCCTGCTCGCCATGTGGGTCACCTCCCTGGCCGGGGATGGAACTCTTGCTGTAGTAGCTGTGGAATGCTTCATAGAGCCAATGCTTAACCCCTTGCACCACCAGGGAGTTCCCTGGGCTATGCCTTTTTAAAAGCTTAACAATCTCAGTGAGAGCAATGAATTCAATATGCTTCATTATATCTAAAATCTTGGTTTAGTATTTAATAGCAAAGCACTGAAGGTCTTGGTTTTAAAAGTGTGACATTTAGTTTTTTAGTAGCTATCATAGTTAGGGTAAAAAATGACATCTACTGAAGATATAAAGAACCAAACAGAAAAAGTTCACTTCTGACAATGAGTTTCCAATCCCTATTTCAATTTCATACACAAACATGCAAAGGATGTGAAAATTTAGCTAATATATGTCCTTTAAAACCAATCAGAAAATATTGCATCTTTATATATATGGGTTCAAACTACACTAAAATTGACTATGACGTGACTCTATGTGTCAATTTGGCTGAGGCACACTGCCCAGATAGTCAAATATTACCCTGGTCATTCTGTAAAAGTATTTTTTATATATTAATATTTAAATTGGTGAATCTGGAATAAAGCAGATTACACTCCACAGTGTCAGTGGCCTTTATGCAATCAGTTAATAGCCTTAATAGGACAAAAACTGACTTTCCATCTGCAAAAAGGAACTCTGTCAACAGACTTGTCTTTTGAGCTTGAACTGCAACTCTTCCTTGGATACACCCTGCAGAGTTTGGACTAGACAAGCATCTGAAATCATGTGACCTGATTCCTTATGGTCAATTTCTCTCGCCCCCTACACACACACACACACACACACACCCCACCACCCCACCCCCATTGGTTCTGTTTCTCTGAGGGAGCAGAATCCACTGACTAAAACAAGAAATTTCTGTTTCTGGTTGCTATTAAGTGCAGATATATCTGTAGGTGACAAACTATTTTTAGCAACTAAGTTACATAATGAGGGTGCATTTCCAAATATGCATCAAAATGATTTCCCCAGGGCCTCCCGTGGTGGCACAGGAGGTTGAGCTCTGCACTGTGAAGCTGTCCGCAGCCTCTGCAGTGCTGGTTCGATCCTGGCCGGCCAGCAAGGGTCCCACATGGCGCTGCAGACCTCTCCTGTCGCGCCTGCTTCTCCCCTCAGCAGTGTATTTCGTCAGTCTGCCTGTTCTGCTCCCCACTGTCTCTGGTGAATCCTCTCACCCTCCAGCACATCTGGCCTACACCCCAGTTCTTATATGCATAAATCTTTAGAAAAATAAAGCACCCATAATAAAAATATAATATGCTGTGAACTTCTGGCTTTATTTTCTTTACTTACATATAAAGACAACGTGAGTAAACTGTAACCATATCCCAATTTATTTTTTAAATTCCAGTCAATGTACCAACCACTTTACCAGTGGTTATGTTTTGAATCCCTTTTTGTTAAATCATTTACTGTTGAAAATAAATCAACACATCTTTCCTTTAGAACAAAAAAGTTGTTCTAAATATACAGGCATATTTTACTTTATTTCACTTTGCTTTCACTGTGCTTCACAGATGCTACATTTTATACAGAGTGAAGGTTTGTGGTAATCTTTTTGGTGCCATTTTCCCAACAGAATATACACACTTTGTAGCTAAGTCACATTCTGGTCATTCTTGCAATATTTCAAAATTTTTCATTATATGGTGATACGTGATTAATGATCTATGATGTAACTATTGTTAATTGTTTTGGCATACAGTGAACAGCACCAAAATGAAGAAATTAAAAGTGCTACTCCAGTGCACACACAAAAGAAAGCAAAATCGCCTTCTTGCTGATAAGAACAACATTTTAGTGGTCTGGATAGATCAAAACAGCCACAACATTCCTTTAAGTCAAAGCATTCCAGATGCTAGGAGTTTGGAAGAAGTTGATTCCAACCCTCATGGATGGCTCTGATAGGTTCAAGACTTCAGCAGAAGTAACTACAGATGTGGTGGAAATAGCAAGAGAACTGAATTAGAAGTAGAGCTTGAAGGGGTGGCAGATTTGCTGCAATTTCATGATAAAACTTGAGTGGATAAGGAGTGACTTCTTATGGATGAGCAAAGGTGGTTTTTTAGAGATGGAATCTACTGATGAAGATGTGAACACCACTGAAGTGACAACAAAACATGTAGAGTATTACATAAATTCAATTGCTACAGCAGTGGCAGGGTTTAAGAGGACTGACTCCAATTTTGAAAGCAGCTGTCCTATGATAAAATGCTGTCTAACAGCATGGCATGCTAGAGAGAAATCTTTTGTGAAAGGAAATCAACTGATGTGGGAAAACTCACCTTCGTCTCATTTTAAAAAACTGTTAGTCATCCCAACCTTCAGCAACCTCCACTCTGATCACTCAGCAGCCATCAATACTGAAGCAAGACCCTCCACCAAGTTAACATGACAATTTTAGCAAAAACGTGTTTTTAATTAAGGTATGTGTGTTTTTTTAAAGATGTATGCTGTTATACCTTAATAGACTATCCTATAATATAAATAAACGTTTTATATACTTTGGGAAATCCAAAAATTCCTACGATTTGCTTATTGCAATATTCACTTTAAGTGGTGGCCGAGAATAAAAACTACAATAGCTCCAAGATATACTTCATTATTGAATCAGAATCTAGGAAACAATACAGATGTTAGAAATTTTTTAGCTAGATTTATTAACTATAATAAATCAAGAAACAGTAAACTATTTCAATTCTACAAGTGATTTATGTTTTGAAAGTGATTAGAGAAATTAATTTAGCAATATTCATAAAAAGGCAAGGTAAATGATAAGACATCCAAACAAGATTCATGCTTGACATGTTAAAATATTCAATGAACAAATGCTCCCTCTTGGGACGTCCCTGGTGGTGCAAGGGGTTAAGTCTCAGCACTATTACCAGCCACTGCAACATGAGTTCCATCCCAGGCCAGGAAGCTAACCCACATGGCACAACAGACCTCTCCTATCCCACCCACTGCT